CAGATCACCTAAACCCTCATAAAGGAAAAACTTAAAAATTTCAGGACCCCCAAACTCCCTATGCCAAAGGGAAAGTTAAGCCTCAGGCTGGGTCGTGCAACACCCTCTCCCAAATGAACAGGTATTACCAGCATCATGCATCAGCCAGATCCCCAGGGAAAGCCTGAAGGCCTCAGGCATTTCCAGGTGCCCCCACAGATCATTCTTTTTTTTTTTTTTTGAGACAGAGTTTCGCTCTTGTTACCCAGGCTGGAGTGCAATGGCGTGATCTCGGCTCACCGCAACCTCCGCCTCCTGGATTTTGCAATTCTCCTGCCTCAGCCTCCTGAGTAGCTGGGATTACAGGCACGTGCCACCATGCCCAGCTAATTTTTTGTATTTTTAGTAGAGACGGGGTTTCACCATGTTGACCAGGATAGTCTCGATCTCTCGACCTCGTGATCCACCCGCCTCGGCCTCCCAAAGTGCTGGGATTACAGGCTTGAGCCACCGTGCCCGGCCTCGCAGATCATTCTTAAGTAAATTTGTAACCACCCAACGGGTTCACTTTGCCCACTGTATAGACAGAGCCAGTTTATCAAGACAGGGGAGTTGCAGTGGAGAAAAAGTAATTCATACACAGCTGGCTGCACAGAAGACTGGAGTTTTATTATTACTCAAATCAGTCTCCCCAAGCATTTAGGGATCAGAATTTTTAAAGAGAATTTGGTAGGCAGGGGGGCGCTTAGGAAGTGGGGAGTGTGATTGGTCAGGTTGGAAATGGAATCACAGGGGGTCAAAGTGAGGTTTTCTTGCTCTGTTCCTGGGTGGGATGGCAGAACTTGTTGAGCCACATTATGGGTCTGGGTAGTGTCAGCTGATCCATCGAGGGCAATGTCTGCAAACTATCTCAAGCACTGATACTCGGTTTTACAGTAGTGATGCTATGCCCAAGAGCAACTTGGAGAAGTTCAGACTCTTGGAGTCAGAGGCTGCATGACCCCTAAACTGTAATTCCTAATCTTGTAGCTATTTGTTAGTCCTGCAAGGGAGACACGTTCCCAGGCAAGAAGGGGATCTTTTGGGGGAAGGTCTGTTACCAATTTTGTTTCAAAGTCAAACCATGAACTGAATTCCTTCCCAAAGTTAGTTTGGCCCATGCCCAGGAATGAACAAAGACAAATTATAGGTTAGAAGCAAGATGGAGTCAGTTAGGTCTGATATCTTTCACTGTCGTAATTTCCTCAGTTATAATTTTTGCAAAGGTGGTTTCAAATGCTTTGCTGGCCACCCACAAACAAGGATGTGTCAATTCTAACTTCAGGTCTGCAATCCACATCTAACTCCTAAAACTAAAGTCCACAGGATTGCACACTGATTGAAAATGTCCATTATGAGTTTATCTTCCCACGTGCAAAACAAAGACAAGATCAGTCATTCTTCCACCTACCCAGAGACACCTGCATCGATTCTTCCATTTCTTCTCCTTTTCCTTCAACTCACTCACCTTATCTATGTAAAATATATAATTCTGGACACTAAAGTCTCACAATAATGTAACCATTTGCCTTATTGCCTACCTGTCCCTCTTCCTGCATGCCTTCTCCATCCTCCCTTTAAGGAAATGTATAATGAAACCTACTGAAAACATCTTTGGAAAAACAGCCACAGAAAGCTGTGGCTCACCGTTTTCCCAGACACGCCCCAAAGCTGGCTGAATAACCCTCAGCTGATTGAGCCCCTGGCCTCAGTCATTCATTTCAGCTATCACGGCCTATGGCTCACCGAGGAAAGTCTCAAACATTTCCCGTAAGCCTTGCCACCCACTTCATTTTAGTCTTTGCCACAAGGAAACATGGAACTCATATAAGAAACCGGTTCCTACAAGCTTCTGTAAAATATGGAATTGCCCTCTAGGACTTGCAGAGTGTTCAACAGCATGGAGTTTACCCATAGGTCTAACTAACCTTGGGAAGTAATTTATATCTTGACCCTGAAACACATCTGAGAATAGCCCATTCCCAACAGTTATGAAGCCTCCAAAGGTTTCCTTGTGTTTCTATTTTGCTCTCTGCTACGTGAAAATGGATTTAAGTTACAGCCTAAGATTTTACTTATTTGAAGACACTACTGACACAAGGCTAAACACTGCAATGAGTGATAAAATATACAATCTGGCTGGGCGCCGTGGCTCATGACTATAATCCCAATACTTTGGAAGGCCAAGGCAGGCAGCTCACAAGGTCAGGAGTTTGAGACCAGCCCAGCCAATACAGTGAAACCCAGTCTCTACTAAAAATACAAATATTTGCCAGGCATGGTGGTGCACCCTTTTAATCCCAGCTATTCAGAAGGCTGAGGCAGGAGAATCACTTGAGCCAGGGAGGCGGAGATTGCAATGAGCTGAGATCACGCCACTGCACTCCAGCCTGGGTGACACAGCAAGGCTCTATTTAAAAAAATAAATAAATAAAATATACAGTCTATCTCCGGAGATTTTAGAAGCATGGACTGTTTTGTTGGACAATGAAGTGAGCCCTAGTGGAGTAATCAGCAATACGAGACCTTTCCCAGGCCCCTTCCCAGTGAATTGTTTTGCATTACCACAAGCTTGGAAACGTCTTTAATCAAACCTACAGCAGGTCACGACTCTCGAGAATTCAAGTGTGCAGCAAATGTGGATACTGGCACCTGAATCAGTGTCTATTGTCCACGCCCACAGCATCCCCATAGGACCAACCCCAGCAAACAGGAAGGTCTTCTGCACAGATTTCTCTACCTTTCATTTACAATATAGAGTCTGAAATTCCCATTGTCAAAGACGATTCTGATGAGAAATCCTTTCTGCTTGAGCTTACTACCTTGGAGTCTCTGAGAGAGCAAATGTAACGGAAGACCCCTCTGGAACCCAGACTTTGTATTTCAATCCCCTCAGTGCCTGTGGTAGTGTACTTATTCCTTAAGGTCTGTCGAATTTCTCAATGGTTCTGAGTTACACATGAACTACACACTACAAGTGCTCACTAGTCTCCTTCTAGGTGCTCTGATGCCTAAGCAACTCAAACACGTTTCTCTGAGGTGCATACATCCGCCAGGGCTGTAACAGACAGGGAAGTTCATTAACCTCATGACTACCAATCACAAGCTTGAGGATGAGTCAGACATATGAATTTCTAGGCATAGGGGGAATCATCTGGACTCTAAAAATCACTGGTTTCCTCTGTGGAGACAGGAAACCTAGCCTTGGAATTTAATGCCATTCAGCACCAAGCCTGCCCTGGTTCAGCATTTCCATCCACCTGTGAAGGATTCCAACCCCCATCAAGGACAGGTACTTTTTTTTAAGATAGAAAAACTACAAAAAAGGGAGAAGCAGGGAGTAGCAGACACACAAAACACAAAGCCAAATTTTTATGACATCCAATAGACATAAAACTACTCTACCAAATTGCTATAAAACGTTTTAAATGCCAAGTCAGTTTTTAAATTTTCATTACAGAATGGCAAGAATGCAACTGGCTTCAGCCCATGGGTCTGTCTTTGAGTAGCCTGGGACTGGAGGCCAAGCACTGGCCTCAGAAGGCTGAATAGGGTATTGGACTTGACTGTTCTGTGAGAATTCATTCAACCCTCTGCAGAAATTCCCCATCTCCAACTCCCCAAAGCCCTTCTTCACTGCTCTCCTGGGTATACCTTACCATCTTCTGTAACTACAGATAACTATTCACAGCAGACTAAAATTCTTGGAGCTAGGGACTACTACCTTCTTGACCTTTAGATTCAGTGCCTAACTATATCTAGTACTCAGTTTTTGTTCAACAACAACAAAAAAAATCCTAAGTTAAGGTTATCAACAGCGCTTTGGCTTCATTTTTATTTATGTTTGTTGGTTTATTATTTTAAAAATCAGGTTTCTTTATCTCAACCCAGAAAATAACAGCTAATTTACATACTATACTGACATTATTTTGCCTGAAAACCAACCTCCCCGATTGAGCTCAAATTCAAGTATTCTCATGTCTTTTCTACTACTCCAGTTGTATTTCACAAAACATGTAAATAATAATGACATGTCAAGCCATACTCAGGTTTATATGGGGTAAAGAACAAAACTCATCCTCTTTACACCTGTAAAGAACAAAAAGGGTTTGCTGAACTATGACATACCACAGAAAGGCTTAACATTTGATGCATTTTAGTGGTACTGATTTTCTAACTCTGGGAAACATTTGTTCATGTAAAGCCTAGCAAGGGCTAGTCATCAAGTGCTAGCAATGGGAGGACAGATGGTGAGGGGTCAAGTGATGAAGTCATTTGAAAATGTCTATAAATTCTCCCTTCAAGAGGTGGAGCTTAATTCTCCTTACCCTTGAATACAGGCTAGAATTAGTGATTACCCACTAACAGAATAAGGCAAAAAATGAGTGTGTCACTTCCATGGTGAGGCCACCGAAAGGCAATGTGGGTTTCCTTCTTGCTTTCACACTCGGGGGAAAGCCAGCCACCATACTGTGAGGGCACTCTGTGGAAGGAGAGGAACTGGGGCTTCTGCCTAACAGCCACAGGTCAGTGAGCAAAGAAGTCGGACCCATTTGAAGCTTCAGATGACTGCAGCCTCAGCCAGTATCTTGCTTGCAACCTTATACCACTCCCTTTGCCAGAACCACCAGCTAAGCTGCTCCCAAATTCCTGATCCAGAGACCTGTGAGATAAATGTTTGCTGATTTAACACACTAAATTTTGGGATAAATTATTACATAGTAGGTTACTAGTACAGGTGGTGAACCTTCGGGGGGTGTTACGTGAATTCATCATGCCTTGGTAAAAAGCAAGGTAAAGCTGAGGAAAGAAAAGGGGTATAAATGATGGAAAGAGCAGATGCCGCTTTGTTCAACAAGTGCCTAAAACTAGAGTTAAGTAAGCTCTGTGAAAATACGAAAATGTCTATTAAACTCCATAGGCATTCTACTAGTTCTTTTTATCAATAAAGATATTATGAAAGGGGAAAAAAAGCTCCAAAATTGTTAATAGCAACTTTATTGTTTCACTGGTGAAAAAAAAGATCATAATTGTGATGCATTTCCTGCTAAATTTACAATGAAGGAGATACATAAATTATATAGATCACAAATTTCCTTTTATACTATTTAAAACCAAATTATTTTGATAAATATGCCCAGAGGACAACATAAGTTCTTAATGGATGGCTGAATCCAAATATGCAAAATATAGCTTCTGGTTTTGACCATGATGCTTTAAAATTCTCAAACATGCATTAATATATTCTAGTTTTAGGGAAAATTTTACACATGGTCATATCTTGCAATTTAGGGAGAAGCCCAAGATGAAGTTCACATACAGTATTCCTTTCTTCTAAATTAATCTGAAATTGGACTAGAGAAGAAAAGAGACAGACACTTTTGGGTTAGTACTCCCCAGTAATGAAGAAAATACACAATCAACAATGAAACAAAACAAAAAAAAAAAAAAAAAGGAAGAGCTTCATTAGTAGCCAAGATCAGTGCTTGTGGGGTTTTTTGTGTTTTGTTTTTGTTTTTGTTTTTTACAGATCACAGGAATTTTAAATCAGTCATGCTACTTGGGGTGATCAGACAGACTTGAACACTTACCAAGTGAATTTTATTAAGGTCCTGAAGGTGAGTGTCCGGAGGTGCTGGGTAAAACACATCACAGGTAAGAAACAGGAAACCTACCTCAGCATTTCTGAAAGGCACAATCTATGGAAGGGAAACCTAGCGTAATAAAACCCTCACTGGATGTACATGGAAAGAAGTGTGATGAGCTGTTTCCTTTTTAAAGAATGAGACCTTCATAAATCGGCCCCTCAGATTCTGGTGATTCCCGTCGCAAGCGCAAATGCTCCAGTGTGTTATGAAAATGTTTGTTAATCTGCTCTGTTTCTTCACTGGACTCAAGATTTGGGAGGTCTTCTCGAATCTTTTGGATAAGCTGGTTTAAAACCTGAATTGTTACCTACAAAAGAGTATATACAAATTTACGATCAAGCACGTACCACAAAAAAATGAAAGACAATTTAATAAAACTGTTTTGAAGAGTTTCTGTTACTCTCATCAATTACTTGAGTAATTATGAAAAAAAGCAAGATGGAAGAATAATTTCTAGTTCGAGCAACTACTGACTATCCAAAAACAAAACAAAACAAAACAAAAACCACCAACTCTTAAACACAAGCAAAATTGGCCCAGGGCGGTGGCTCACGTCCGTAATCCCAGCACTTTGGGAAGATCACTTGAAGTCAGGAGTTCAAGACCAGCCAGCCAACATGGTGAAACCCCACCTCTGCTAAAAATATAAAAATTAGCTCAGCGTGGTGGCAGGCACCTATAATTCCAACTACTCAGAAGGCTGAGGCATGAGAACCCGGGAGGGAGAGGTTGCAATAAGCTGACTTTGTACCACTGCACTCCTGCCTGGGTGACAGAGCGAAACTCCATCAATTAAAAAAAAGCAAAATTTTATTTAACTTACCAATCTTGACCAAAGCTGCATTGCTAAAAGGATACTACATTTAGGAATTATCTTTTTTTTTTTTTTTTTGAGACGGAGTTTCGCTCTTGCTACCCAGGCTGGAGTGCAATGGCGCGATCTCGGCTCACCGCAACCTCCGCCTCCTGGGCTCAGGCAATTCTCCTGCCTCAGCCTCCTGAGTAGCTGGGATTACAGGCATGCACCACCATGCCCAGCTAATTTTTTGTATTTTTAGTAGAGACAGGGTTTCACCATATTGACCAGGATGGTCTCGATCTCTTGACCTCGTGATCCACCCGCCTCGGCCTCCCAAAGTGCTGGGATTACAGGCTTGAGCCACCGAGCCCGGCCTATCTTTTTTTTTTTGAGACGAAGTTTCACTTTTGTTGCCTAGGCTGGAGTGCAATGGTGCAATCTCAGTTCACTGCAACCTCTGCCTCCTGGGTTCAAGCGATTTTCCTGGTCACCCTCCCAAGTAGCTGGGATTATAGGCGCCCGCCACCACACCTGGCTAATTTTTCTATTTTTAGTAGAGAGGGAGTTTCACCATGTTGGCCAGGCTGGTCTCAAACTCCTGACCTCAGGTGATCCACCTGCCTTGGCCTTCTAAAGTGCTGGGATTACAAGTGAGCCACTGCGACAAGCCTTAGAATGATCTTAAACGAGAACATTATGACAAATTATTCTATGATTTGGTATCTGTAAATTATTTTATGTTTTTCTCTAAAATTATTTTTTGAGATTGAGTCTTACTCTGTCACCCAGGCTGGAGTGCAATGACATAATCTCTGCTCACTGCAACCTCTGCCTCCCAGGTTCAAGTGATTCTCCTGCCTCAGCCTCCTGAGTAGCTGGGATTAGAGGTGTGCGCCACTACATCCAGCTAGTTTTTTGTACTTTTAGTAGATACGGGGTTTCACCATGTTGGTCAGGCTGGTCTTGACCTCGTGATACACCCGCCTCAGCGGCATGTAGCCACCGCCACCCAGCCTATTTTATATTTTTCAAATGAACAGTGATTAAAGTATCCGAATTACAAAGTTTTGTACATATCAAATCTCCTAAGAGTAGGAAGGGAAAATATTAGTTTATTAACAACACTTTACTAATGCACTTACCGCATCATTTTCCTTTTCATAAAAATAGATATATCTGTTCAGAATTTCTATAAAAAGCTGTACTTGTAGAGAGGGGTCCATGCACTGATTTGCTATTTTTAGAGCTTTCTTTAGGCACTCCATTACTCTCTTGCCTCCATGAAGCTAAAACAAAAGGGTATGAAGACAGTGAAGAGATTAATGAAACAGCCTATTTTCATACAAAGAAACACAACACTACCGTACTCTTTCGTGTTTTAAAGGGATACAACAAATTTAAGTCCTTTTTATTATCCTCCTCCTTCTGTTTTGAAGTATACAGCTGTATTTTTTTTTTTTTTTTTTTGAGACGGAGTTTTGCTTTCGTTACCCAGGCTGGAGTGTAATGGCGCAATCTCGGCTCACCACAACCTCCGCCTCCTGGGTTCAGGCAATACTCCTGCCTCAGCCTCCTGAGTAGCTGGGATTATAGGCACGCGCCACCACGCCCAGCTAATTTTTTGCATTTTTAGTAGAGACGGGGTTTCACCATGTTGACCAGGATGGTCTCGATCTCTTGACCTCGTGATCCACCCGCCTCGGCCTCCCAAAGTGCTGGGATTACAGGCTTGAGCCACCACGCCCGGCCACAGCTGTATTTTTTTAAAAAACAGGTAGTGGTTTGGATTTGCACTGCTACAATATCCTCAAAGCAAAGGCTTCACTACAGGATGAGATTCTTTTTTCACAAAACCAAAGCAATTTTGTTCATCAGACTTCCAAGCACCCTGTATGTTTCACCTCTAGAGCACAAGGCCATGGCAATTGATCCCTGTTATCGATCCTGTCTGCTATCATGCAGTTAGGAATCACCTTACCTCCTCTCCATTTTTGTCCGTGTTTCTCCCAGACCAGAAGAGATGTGCACAGGTGCTTACAGCTCGGCCCTGATCAGGTTTCTTCAGAAGTTTGGATGCAGCAAGGGCACACTGAGTCCTCAGGGGTTCATGATTCTCTTCACTGAAGCACTTCATCCTTTCAAAAGTGCCAATGATCAAGGTGATGGCAGCCAGCTGTGCTTTGGAATCACTGATTTCATCTTCATACAGAGAAAATGCCTAATGAACACAAAGCAGAAAGGACTTTCAAGGACCAACCATTCTCTAGTTGAGCATTTTCCAAAGTACTTCTCACCAAACCTCCATCCCGTGAGACTTCTGCAGCCTTTATATCAGAACATGCTGCACCCTCTCTTGAGACCACAGGACACAGCTAAGATGGTAAATATGCTAAAAAGTTGCAATAAAGAAACTTCTTTCAACTTTGTTTAACCCAAGGTTCCCAAACTGAATTAACAAAGGAACCATGTTCCATGAAACACTTTTACCACAACCCAGTTGGAAATCTTAGATTTCATCAGCACCCAGCAAATGATCAACACTAGTCAACTTTGACAATAATATTAAAGAGGTTCCAAGCTGGTGGGAAGGTGGTAGTTACATATGCAGGGAAAGAAGAGTAAATTCATGTGCATTACTGCCATGCTTGCAAACAAGCAACTGAGGCTCAGCAGAGCTGATGTGACATTCAGAAAGAACAGATCATCACCTGGGACATGAATTCATATGCAACTGTTTCATGATTTTCAAAACCAATTTCCCCAGCAGCTAGTGCTCCTTGAAGAAAAAGTCTTAAGGGCAATTCTGCCAGCTCTGCTTTGATCAAAGCACTGATAGTCTGGTGGGCAAATGAAAAAATCTTCTGGCATTTCTTTTCCCATTTGTCATCCTAAAACAAAAAAAAACATTTTAAGTTACCGTAAGTTCAAAATTAACTTGTTTCAGAATACTCAATGTTATTTAAACTTGTAGTAGAACAAAATAGTAAAGGTGATAAGTTGAGCGCAGAGTTTTCCTGTCATTTTTCCTCTTGTTTCAGTTACAGGGCACACAAGTAAATCAAGCAGGATGTCTTCTTAAAACGTCATTTGAGGTTAAATTGCCTTTGCAATATTAACATATTTGATATTTCTTTTTTCTTTTTTCTTCTACTTTTGAGATGGAATTTTGCTCTTGTTGCCCAGGCTGGAGTGCAGTGGCGCAATCTTGGCTCACTGCAACCTCCGCTTCCTGGGTTCAAGTGATTCCCCTGCCTCAGCCTCCCAAGTAGCTGGGATTATAGGTGCCCGCCACCATGCCCAGCTAATTTTTTAATTTTTAGTAGAGGTGGGGTTTCACCATGTTGGCCAGGCTGGTAACTCCTGACCTCAAGTGATTTGCCCCCCTCAGCCTCCCAAAGTGCTGGGATCACAGGCGTGGGCCACTGAGTCCAACTTGTTACTACTTTTTCTTTTCTTTTCTTTTTTTTTTTTTTTAAGACAGGGTCCTGTTCTGTTACCCAGGCTGGAGTGCAGTGGCATGATCACAGCTCACTGTGGCCTTGAACTCCTGGGTTCAAGTGATGCTCCCGCATCAGACTCCCGAATAGCTAGGACTACATGCTCGCATCACCACACCTAGCTAATTTTTTTACTTTTTTTGTAGAGACAGGGTCTCATTCTGTTTTCCAGGCTGATCTTGAACTATTGGCCCCATGCAAACCTCCAACTTCAGCCTCCTGAAGTATTGGGATTACAACCATGAGCCATCACACCTGGCTATTTGTTTTTTCTGATTAGTAAAGTAACATTCCCAAATTGGTAAAAATTGGAAAAATACACAAAGTCATCCACACGTCATCCCTAAATCTATCACCCAGGGATAATCATAAGATTCTGATGCTAAATGTCTTCCTTTCTTTTTTTCTATGTAAATGTAATGTAACTGGAATTTTTGTGTGTAGTTTTTTTTTCTTTTTTTGAGAAAGAGTCTTGCTTTGTTGCCCAGGCTGGAGTGCAGTGGCAAGACCTCAGCTCTCTGAAACCTCTGCTTCCTGGGTTCAAGTCACTCTTCTGCCTCAGCCTCCTGAGTAGCTGGGATTACAAGTACGCTACCACATCTGGCAAATTTTTGTATTTTTAGAAGAGATGGGATTTCACCATATTGGCCAGGCCGGTTTTGCACTCCTGACCTCAAGTGATCTACCCACCTCGAACTCCCAAAGTGCTAGAATTACAGGTATGAGCCACTGCTCCCAGACCTTATCTTCTTACTTGAGAGTTAAACAAAATTGGATTCATACTTCAAGTAATTTGTATCTAATTTTTCTTTCACTTACTTTGTCCTAACAATTTTCCTGATACTAATTTGAAATCATTTTAATGACTAGAAAATATTACAGAAACTGGCTATGGCAAAATTTATTTAACTATTTCCTTTTAGAAATAATCTGTGGTATTATAATGAATGTTCTATATACACCAAACTTTCTTGAGACCCTAATTATTCCCTTAGTATAAATTCTTGAAATTCAACTGAAGTGAAATTATTGAATATTTTAACACCCTAGTTACATACTGCCAACTTCCTAGAAAGATTGTAGTAATTCACACTGACAACATTAGATTAGAATGAATTTTCACCACACCATCGCCATTGCTGAACCCTATTTTTCTTTTCTCTTTGCTAATTTGATTTCTTAAAAGTTTCACTGCTAGCACTTTGGGAGGCCGAGGCGGGTGGATCACGAGGTCAAGAGATCGAGACCATCCTGGTCAACATGCTGAAACCCCGTCTCTACTAAAAATACAAAAAATTAGCTGGGCATGGTGGCACGTGCCTGTAATCCCAGCTACTCAGGAGGCTGAGGCAGGAGAATTGCCTGAATCCAGGAGGAGGAGGTTGCGGTGAGCCGAGATCGCGCCATTGCACTCCAGCCTGGGTAACAAGAGCGAAACTCCGTCTCAGAGAAAAAAAAAAAGTTTCACTGCTGGCTGGGCGCAGTGGCTCATTCCCGTAAATCTCAGCACTCTGGGAGGCTGAGGCAAGGGGATCACCTGAGGTCAGGAGTTCGAGACCAGCCTGGCCAACACGGCGAAACCCCGTCTCTACTAAAAACATAAAAATTAGCTGGGCGTGATGGTGGGCACCTGTAATCCCAGCTACTCAGGAGGCTGAGGCAGGAGAATTGCTTGAACCTGGGAGGTGGAGGTTGCAATGAGCTCATACCTCTGCTCCAGCCTGGATGACAAGAGCAAGACTCTGTCTCAAAAAAAAAAAAAAAAAAAAAAAAGGTTCACTGCTGCAATTATAATAATTAAAAATAAATATTTTATCGTGTTTGACAAATTTCTTCTTGTTAAAGCAATTAATTCTTTTCATTTCTAAAGATGGTGACAGGCGGGGCATGGTGGCTCATGCCTGTAATCCCAACACTTTGAGAGGCCGAGGAGGCAGAAGGATTGCTTGAGCCCAAGAATTTGAGATCAGCCTGGGCAACATGGTAAGACCCCATCTCTACAAGAAATTAGCCAGTGTGGTGGCACATGCTTGTAGCCCGAGCTACTCAGGAGGCTTAGGATCACTCGAGCCTAAGAGTTCAAAGCTGCTGTGAGCTGTAATCATATCACTGTATCCCAGCCTGGGTGACAAAGACCTTGATTCAAAAAAAAAAAAAAAAAAAAAGAGACAGTGACAGTCATAGACTTGTTCCAAGGATTAAATGCCATAATCCAATTAAGTATAAGGTCCTTGGCACAGTATATGGCACACAGTAAGTAGTCTAGTAAATAAGTAAAGGCTAAAGGCCTTTTACTTTTACTTATTTGCCCTAAATCGTTTTGATCCCCAGATTTCTTTTATCTTGTAACTGAAAGTTTGCATTCTTTGGTAACTACTGTTAAACTCTCTGCTTATGTGAGTTCAACCATTTTTTAGTGACTGGGTCTCCCTCTGTGGCCCAGGCTGGAGCACAGAAGCGCAATCATAATTCACTGCAGCCTCCAACTTCTGGGCTCCAGCCATCCTCTTGCTTTAACCTCTTTCCTGTTTTTTTTTGTTTTTTTGTTTTTTTGTTTTTTTGAGATGGAGTCTCGCTTTCTGGCTCAGGCTGGAGTGCAGTGGCATGATCTCGGCTTACTGCAACCTCCACCTCCTGGGTTCAAGTGATTCTCCTGCCTCAGCCTCCTGAGTAGCTGGGATTACAGGCATGTACCACCACGCCTGGCTAATTTTTGTATTTTTAGTAAAGACGAGGTTTCACCATGTTGGCCAGGCTGGTCTCGAACTCCTGACTTCAGATGATCCACCCACCTCCACCTCCCAAAGTGCTAGGATTACAGGTGTGAGCTAACACACCTGGCCCCACCCTAGCCTCTTGAGTGGGTAGGACTACAGGCATGCACCACCACGCCTGACTAATTTTTTTTTTTTTTTTTGAAACGGAGTTTTGCTCGTTACCCAGGCTGGAATGCAATGGCGCGATCTCGGCTCACCACAACCTCCACCTCCTGGGTTCAGGCAATTCTCCTGCCTCAGCCTCCTGAGTACCTGGGATTATAGGCACGTGCCACCATGCCCAGCTAATTTTTTGTATTTTTAGTAGAGACGGGGTTTCACCATGTTGACCAGGATTATCTCGATCTCTTGAACTCGTGATCCACCCACCTCGGCCTCCCAAAGTGCTGGGATTACAGGCTTGAGCCACCGTGCCTGGCCAATTTTTTAATAGAGATTGGGTCTTGCTATGTTGCCTAGGAGAGATGAATTCAACTTAAAAAAAAATTCCACATATAGATGAAGTCATGGAGTATTTGCCTTTCTGTGTTTGGCTTATTTCACTTAGAATAATGTCTTCCAGATGCATCCCTTTGTCATAAATAGCAAGATTTTCTCCATTTCTATGGTTGAGTAATATCCTACTATGTAGAGAATATTATATGTGAGTAGAAACATGCATACATATATACACACACACACACATACATACAACACAATTTCTTTATTCATCTATTGATAGACACCAAGGTTGTTTCCATATTTCAGTCATTGTGAATAATGCTGCAATAAACATGGGAGTGCAGGTATCTCTTTGAGATACCGATTTCCTTTCCTTTGAATACATAATCAGATGTGGGATTGCAGGGTCACATGGTAGTTCTATTTTTAGTTTTTTGAGGACCCTCCCTACCATTTTCCATAATGGCTATGTAATTTATATTCCCACCAATTATACACAGGGTTCCCATTTCTCTACATCCTTGTCAACACTTGTTATTTTCTGCCTTTTTGATAATAGTTATTCTGACAGGTGTGAGGTGGTATCTCATAGTGGTTTTGATTTGCATTTTCCTGATAAATGATGTTGAACATCTTTTCATATACCAGTTGGCCATTTGTATGTCGTCTTTGGAAAAATGTCTATTCAGATCCCTTGCCCATTTTTTAATTAAGTTATCCATTTTCTTGCTACTGAGTTGCATTCCTTATATATTTTGGATACTGACCACTTTTAAGATGTATGATTTGCAAATATTCTTCCCCATTCCATTGGCTCTCTCTTCACTCTGCTGCTTTGTGTCTTTTGTTGTACAGAGCTTTTTTTTTTTGAGACGGAGTTTTTGCTCTTGTTACCCAGGCTAGAGTGCAATGGCGCGATCTCGGCTCACCGCAACCTCCGCCTCCTGGGTTCAGGCAATTCTCCTGCCTCAGCCTCCTGAGTAGCTGGGATTACAGGCACGCGCCACCATGCCCAGCTAATTTTTTGTAATTTTAGTAGAGACGGGGTTTCACCATGTTGACCAAGATGGTCTTGATCTCTTGACCTCGTGATCCACCCGCCTCGGCCTCCCAAAGTGCTGGGATTACAGGCGTGAGCCACTGCACCCGGCTTGTACAGTGCTTTTTAGTTTAATAGAGTCCCACTTGCTTATTTTTGCTTTGATTGCCTAAATTTTTGGTTATATATCCAAAAAAGGCATTGCCAAGACCAATGACAAGGTTTTTCCCTATGTTTTTTTCTAGGATTTTTACGGTTTCAGGTCTTTAATCCATTTTGAGTTCATTATTGTATATGGTAAGAGTCCAATTCCTTTTTTTTTTTTTGCAGTGGATATCCAATTTTCTCAATACTATTTATTGAAGAGACCAACCTTTTCCCCATTGTGTATGCTTGGTGTCTTGATCAAAGATTTCTTTGTTGCATATGCATGGGTTTATTTCTAAACTCTCTATTCTGTTCCATTGGTCTATGTGTCTGTTTTTATGCCAGTACCATACAGCCACACTGTTTTAATTACTTTGGCTTTGTAATGTAGGCTGGTTGTTATTTTTATTGTTATAGTCACAAATTCCTAACCATTAACGCTGGGAAAGAGTGAATGATAAGCTGGTCTAATAAATATTGGCTAAAAGCTGCTTTTTCATGCTGGTAGGTCTAATGAATACATCTTTTTTCTCTATTATGAAAAAATTAAGTCCCTACTAAGGCAGGGTGCAGTGGCTCACACCTATAATCCCAGCACTTTGGGAGGCTGAGGCAGGAGGATCACTTGAGACCACAAGTTCAAGTACAGCTGGTCAATAGGCGAGACCCTGTCTCTACTAAAAATACAAAAATTAGCTGGGTGTGGTGGTGCACACCTGTAATCCCAGCTACTTAGGAGGCTGAGACACAAGAATCACTTGAACTGACGAGGTGGAGGTTGTGGTGAGCCAAGATTGAGCACTCCTGTCTGGGTGATAGAGTGAGACTCTATCTCCAAACAAACAAACAAACAAGTAAGCAAAATTAAGTTACAGAGGTTGTTCCTTAACATAAACCTGACTGTCCGACTTTCAGGTCCATGAGCTTGAGGTATTTTCTTCAAAAGTACACATTGGACTGGGCATGGTGGCTTACACCTATAATCCCAGCACTTTGGGAGGCTGAGGCAGGTGGGTCACCTGAGGTCAGGAGTTCAAGACCAGCCTGGCCAAACATGGTGAAACCCTGCCTCTACTAAAAATACAAAAATTAGCTGGGTGTGGTGGCACGTGCCTGTAGTCCCTGCTACTTGGGAGGTTGAGGCAGGAGAATCGCTTTAACTCGTGAGGCAGAGGTTGCAGTGAGCTGAGATGGCGCCACTGCACTCCAGCTTGGGCAACAGGGAAGACTCCATCTCAAAAACAACAACAAAACAAAACTACACCATGAAGACTCAAGCCATGATTCCGGTTTGAAGAAGAAAAAAGCTCATAAAAAGTTGCCCACAACTCATGATATTATTCAATCATATGCCTTTAGAGAGAAATGACTGCAATGCTAGTCCCTCTCCCTAGGTTTTAAAGATAACCTGAATAAGGACTTAGGAAAAAGTTTTAGCATAAATCCACTTTTTTTTTTTTTTTTTTTTTTTTTGAGACGAAGTCTTGCTCTTGTTGCTTAGGCTGGAGTGCAATGGCACAGTCTCAGCTCACTGCAACCTCCGCCACCCAGGTTCAAGTGATTCTCCCGCCTCAGCCTCCAGAGTAAGTGGGATTACAGGCACCTGCCACCATGCCCAGCTAATTTTTGTATTTTTAGCAGAGAGAGGGTTTTACCATGTTGGCCAGGCTGGTCTTGAACTCTTGACCTTGTGATCTGCCTGCCTCAGCCTCCCAAAGACCTGGGATTACAGGCCTGAGCCACTGCGCCCGGCCTAATCTTGCATTTCTAAGTCCTTTTTACGGGATCCCTCAGCTAGTATGTGATCCACCAACATCACTGTTAGGAACACTTTGCACAGGTTAAGGAACAAATAGAGTGTTAATAAAAATGGGATTTTATTATACTATTTTTGTATGTTTGAAATTTTTTATAATATAAAACACACATTCGGAGTGATGAAAAAGGAAAAAAAGTAGCAAAATAGTTAAAAGTAAACTCACCACTTTAGAATTCTCTTTGTATCGAAAAGCCAACTGGTAAGCTGCAAATACCAAAGGTGGCAATGTGAAGCGAATCCGCTGATTTCCACCAGCTCCAAAATGTTTTCGTGCTGTGTTCAAAATCTGACGTCAAAGAATTAAGGAAAAAAAAAAATCCCAAACTATGATTAATCATTTGTAAAATAAATGTGGGCTCTAATTAACATTGCTAACATTTTGTGACTATATACAATGTACCATACTTTAAAGGTAGGCAATTTATATATTTCTTATCTCCTCAAGTTGTCACAACAACCCAAAGACAGATACAACCCGATTTCACATATATTTAAATACATTTTCACACACACATGTGCAAACTATGCTGCGCTGATAAAGAATGTAGGCTCTGGCTGGGTGCAGTGACTCACATCTGTAATCCTAACACTTTGGAAGGCTGAAGGTGGGCAGGTCATTTGAGATCAGGAGTTTGAGACGAGCCTGGCCAACACAGGGAAAGCCTGTCTCTGCTAAAAATACAAAAATTAGCTGGGCGTGGTGGCGCACATCTGTAATCCCAGCTACTCAGGAGGCTGAGGCAGAACTGCTTGAACCCAGGAGACGGAAGTTGCAGTAAATTGGGATCACACCACTGCACTCCATCTGGGTGACAGAGCAAGATTCCATCTCAGAAAAAGAAAAGAAGAGAAAAGAAAAATAGGCTGTGAAAGAAAACTAGGTGGTGAAGACTGACTCAGAGATTCAAAGTAGAACCTAATACTTACTACACGTGTGACCTTGGGCAAATTATTTACCTTCTCTTAGCCACAAGTTTCTGTAAACTCCTACTTGTCGGGAAGATCAAGTAACACAGGTGAAGTGTTACCGCTACTTAGCACAAGGCAAACGCTCAGTAATGTTAACTATTACTATGATACAAAACAACTATATGCATATTACCGGTACATCTCATACCTTCTCATTCAGAAAAATATTAAGACCATTTAAATAAAGGAAAATGCTAATATACTTTAAAAGAGCCACTTGTGAAATATTCCATAAATTCTGTTTTTCTCGGAATTTTTTCTGAAATGGCACAACATATAGCCAATTCAGAAAAAATTACAAGAAAAACACACAGTTCATAAAATATTTTTAATATGTGTGACACAATGACATATTCAGGTTTTGTGAAATTCTCTGATATGGTAGATGGATAAGAAAATGAATTTCCCCTAGGTGCAGTGACCGTTAATGATCCTATCTTATAAAGATATCCATACATGGGAATAACCAATCAGCCACATGCAAAAGGCATACTTTCTTTATTATTATTATTTTTTGAGATGGAGTTTCACTATTGTTGCCCAGGCTGGAGTGCAATGGTGCAATCTTGGCTCACTGCCACCTCTGCCTTCCGAGTTCAAGTGATTCTCCTGCCCTACCCTCCTGAGTACCTGGGATTATAGGTGCCCACCATTATATATGCCCAGCTGCTATATTTGGTATGCAACAGAAAATGAAAACACACAGACACACCATCTCACAGAGAAACATAGGGAATCCATTCAAATACTCAATCAGACAGTCACTCTGCACAGATCACACAGGTCACAGAGCACAATACCACTGTCCTGGAATGTTTGTTACTAAGCCAAGACAAAGACCATCACACTACCAACAGAAGTCAGCCTCTTATTTCACACTGATCATGAAGACGTACAGGAGTGTCAACTACAATGAAGTCAACAGAAGATGAGAGACAGTCAGGACATCATCAAGCAAGTGTCTTTTTCATCGTAACAGCCTAAGAGCCTTATGCATCCAAGAATGATTAAACTAATTTGCCCAAACAATAATTAAGCAGCCAACCATGCTAACCCTTCACTGAAATAAATTACCTAGTATTGGTCACTGATACCCCTACTCAGGCAATATGTTTATCCATTTCACAAAGATTCTCTGTGGACTAATAACAAAGAGAGAAACACGCAACTGTTCTTTATCAGGGGAAAACATGGAAAAGGTAAAATGAATTTCTTTTTTCTTTTCTTTTTAAAGACGGGGGTTTCACCATGTTGGTCAGGCTGGTCTTGAACTCCCTACCTCAGGTGATCCACCCGCCTTGGCCTCCAAAGTGCTTGGATTACAGGCGTGAGCCACCATGCCCGGCCGGCAAAATGAATTTTTAAATCTTTCATCAAAAAAAAAAAAAAAAACACACACAAAAAAACACCTCAGGCAGGTGTGGTGGCTCATGCCTGTAATCCCAGCATGCCGAGGTGGGCGGATCATCAGGTCAGGGGTTCGAGACCACCCTGACCAGTATGGTGAAACCCTGTCTCTATTAAAAATACAAACACCATGGGGAGAAATGCCAGATATAATATGCACCTAAAGTTAAATAAATAAATAAAATACAAACATTAGCCAGGTATGGTGGTGTGCACCTGTAATCCCAGCTACTCAGGAGGCTGAGGCAGGAGAATCGCTTGAACCCAGGAGGCAGCCGTTGCAGTGAGCTGAGATCGCACCACTGCACTCCAGCCTGGGCGACAGGGCGAGACTCCACTTCAAAAAAGAAAACAAGAAATGAAAAAAACCCCAAAACCTCACATTTTCAATGTAACAAATACAACTTACGCTTGCAAATTTTGAAAAGTAAAATTATATATAAGGATTCTATTTCTTATTAAGTTTATTATAAGCAATACACAGTTCAGAAAAAAATGAACATGGAATAACTATGAGCACTCAAGTAAAAAAAGACAGAAACCTTCTTCAAATCTCAAACAGTATGCAAAAGAAATCAGAGCAACTGAATTGTTACTCACATGCTCCGGAAGTTTATTTTACCATTATGTGCTTATATATAAAGTAAAAGCCCATGGATGCCATGAATCTTTAATTCAGTTGCAATTCCTTCAAAACCTTCTAAGATCAGAAAGTGAATTAAACCATTTTAAGCACTTCAACATGTGATTTCATTAGGAGCTGATACAGGGTTATAGTAAGAGTAAACTCATACCAAGTACTGCTGGTCAGGGTCCTCAGAACGCAGCAGATGAATGAAGCGGCCCACAAGGCTCTGCTCATCAGCAAAGTCTTCTGGATCAGGGTCTTCCACAGGTTGATCTGGCTGATCTTGAATCAACGTGGATACCAAATTCATTATGGAATCCACCTGTAACATGCAAGGCAAAACAAATCCACTGATGTGAAACCATTAGCATATAAAGCCATTATCAAAAGCGTTTCCAGTCATATAAAATTACAATACAATATCAACAAGATATTCCTTTTTTTTGGTTAGAAGGTCAATACCTGGCTGGGCACGGTGGCTCATGCCTATTAATCCCAGCACTTTGGGAGGCCAAAGCAGGCAGATCACAAGGTCAAGAGATCAAGACCATCCTGGCCAACATGGTGAAACCCCGTCTCTACTAAAAATACAAAAATTAGCCAGGCATGGTGGTGGGCGCCTGTAATCCCAGCTACTTGGGAGGCTGAGGCAGGAGAATCGCCTGAACCCAGGAGACAGAGGTTGCAGTGAGCCAAGATCACGCCACTGTACTCCAGCCTGACAACGGAGCAAGACTCCGTCTCAAAAAAAAAAAAAAAAAGAAAAAAAAGTCAAAACTCATGCACGTCATAGTACACATATTTATAAGTCTGGAAAGATATGCACAAAATGTTAATTAACAGTGGTTAATCTCTACTGGTGAAATTATAAATATTTTCTAATTCTTTATACATCTCCGATTTTCTAATTTATATAATGAATAAGTTACTTGTAAATTTTCTTTACTACTGAATTACCCTCCCCTCCCATCTGAGGTATCTAGGTCCAAAGTAAAACTGTAACACTGTTTCCCTAAAATAGCACATAGATATTTTCTTACCTGGTCTTGAGAGACAATTTCTGTGTTATAATCCAGAACATTACTAAGCACATAACAACTCATGCTCTTTCTGGACTCATAGTCAAAGTACTCAAAGAGTGGGTGAAAATGTTTTAATTTCAAGACTGTTAAAATATTGTTGTAAGTGTCAACTGGTATTTTCAAAAGTCTGGTGAGTTCCTTTGAAACTGCACTACTGGTAGCAATACTACAAAAAGAAAAACAGAAGTCTTAATGAATAAAATTAACTTTTTACATATACAAATAGCACTTGTTTCGTAAGAATTTGAAATTCTTCATTACACATTAAAGGAAATGGGTTAAGTGAATCATACTACCCCAGAAGACTGTAACAACCTCCTTTCAAGAGGATAAAAATGCTTATCTAAACACAAACATATACTCATCTATTACTACTCTATTGATACAAAACTAGATACAATTTCCAACTCATGAACAGATGGAACAGCTGGAGTTAATAAGATAACTGTGTAGAATTTGACAACGTTTCTAAGAAAAGTATTTTAAGTGGTAGTTTGGTTCCCAGGGAGCAGCCAACAAGTACTGTATATTCACAATGAAAATAAGTAGGAAAAAAAAAAATCCATGCCAAACCAGCAATTCAACACAACAGAAAAATATGTAAATTATCTATTCTGCATCAGATGTTGGTGATTAAGAAAAGGCAGGTTGACTGACTTTTAGGTAGTCATTAGTAAAATCACTGTGTAGACTGAGGCATATTGGGGCCTTTATTACAACCTCTTTAGAGGTAGCTATTTCTAATTATTTTGACTGTTTTTACTTTAAAATTTACTTGGGGGGAGAAGACATAGATCATTTAGTCTTTTTAATTAAAATTTTTTTAATTTTTAATTTTTTTATTAGAGACAGGGTCTCCACATGTTGCCCAGGCTGGTCTCAAACTCCTGGCTCAAGTGATTCTCCCAACTCCAACAGCTGGAATTCTCCCAAATAGCTGGGATTACAGGTGCAAGCCACTGCACCTGACACATCACTTAATCTTCTGTCACACTATCAATCAATATCTGGCCTCGTTTTCAGTTTACACATACACAAAAACAAAAATGATCAAAAGAAAAAGAGTAATACAAAGGGGAGAAAAAAAGAAGAAATTTTCTTGATGCAGGTAAACCACTGGGAGGGAGATAGAAAGGAGGAAGATTACATGAGGTAAAATTCTGAAGAATATGCAGTGAATAGGGGGGTGGTTGGCCTGGCTTGATCCAAGTCCAGAGCAGTGGCAAATGAAGCAGGAAGGGAACTGCTGGGGAAGGTAACAGTATCAGAGCTGCCCACAGTGGCCACTAGAGGATGCCATAGGTTTAAGACAGAACAGCTGAGGAGGCTTCAAGTTGGAAGCAGCACTGCTGATAATTTCCTTGAAAGGTATCAAAATCAAAGCTCAAAATAGAAAAGATATTTAAACCAATTTAATTCTTTACGTTAAATATATACACACCCCCCATTTTTCACCATGTACTTACTCGTAGGAAAACACTTATTACAGAAATAAAAACTGCCTGACAATTTCCTTACCAGTTTAAGAACAAACTCATTCACATACAGCAAGCTTGTCTAACCCACAGCCCAAAGGCCATGTGCAGCCCAGGATGGCTTTGAATGTGGCCCAACACAAATTCATAAACTTTCTTAAAACATTATGAGTTTTTCTGTGATTTTTTTTTTTTAAAGCTCATTAGCTATTGTTATTGTTAGTGTATTTTATGTGTGGCCCAAGAAAATTCTTCTTCTAATGTAGCCCAGGAAAGCCAAAAGACTGGATGCCCCTAATACACAGAAAGGGATCCAAATTGAGAACACTGGTCCCTCAAGACTGCCTATGGTCCACAGGTACCACAATTTCATTAATATATACAACCAAGTAATTGGTCGCCACTTTCTGCCCCTAGTAGTGCTAAGCATTACAATCTTAATGCATGATTAAAACAAAACAAATGGCAGCATTTCAAAAAACAATTGAGAAAGAAAAGCAAATCTGAGAAAAAAATCTTTATGAGGATCTTTACAAAAATGTAACTGACTTACTGTTCAAGGTTGAGCTTATTGAATATCTCCACTGTTGTTTCTAGAACTTTATCAACATAGTCCACACGATCAGGGTAACATTTCATGGCAAGATTAATGAGAGAGACTTGTAAAGATACAACATCCTCTGAAGGCATGTCTTGTCTAGACTGGAATGTTCAGAAAAATCCAATTTATTTAAAAAAAATTGTAAAAGGAAGGCAGAAAAGTTTCAAAGTTTTGAGAAATTAGGAGAAAAGCTACACAAACCTGTATCACTGTAGCCACCTGCTGTGAAAATATATCAAAAAGTTTAATATCTGCTGGGATTCCAGGTCCATCTTCACGGTGAGCAAATAAAGCTAATCTAAAAAAAAAAAACCCAAAAACTCTTTATTTTAAAAAATACAGGGTTTAGGCAGTGGAATCCTGGATGACATCTTAATTCTTTATTGCTTTTCTATATTTTGTATGAGCCCAAAAGGTTTTAAAATTATTTACAGTGTACAATTACATTAGGATCACTGATATGATAAAGATAAAACAGAAAGAATTCACAAAAATGTTTAAAATTCATTATTCCCCAAGTCAGAGCATTTACCCTCCAGTGTTGGAAGGTCTTACCTATCAATTAAAGCAATGATTATGTTTTTCACATTTACATTCTGGTGTAACTCAGCACAGGCTCGAAGAAACGGATTCAAAGTCTGGAGGTGAAATTCATCAGGGAAAACCTGAAAATCAAATGATCAATAAAAGTAAAAGTATTTCACATAATATTCAGAACTCACATATGGCATTTAAAGTTCACATTTGTGGAGAAAAAAAAACAAACTCTAATCTTACACAACTAAATTCAAATACATTACCTTTGAACCTCTCTAAACATAAGCTCAGACAGAAATATTCCAATAAACAAGTGCACCTACAATTAAACTAAAGCTACTGAGATCTAGAAAATTCAGATTACTCATTCCTACATTTTGGGGGAAAACAAACTACATTGATACAAAAACCAAGTTATGAGGTGAAAACAGAAAAATTCTCTTTTTTTTTTAAAAAGATGGGGTTTCACCATGATGGCCAGGCTGGTTTTGAACTCCTGACCTCAGGTGATCCACCCACCTCAGACTCCCAAAGTGCTGGGATTACAGGCGTGAGCCACCGTGCCTGGCAGAAAAATTCTTTTTTTAAAAAAAATTCTTTTTAGGCCGGGCACGGTGGCTCAAGCCTGTAATCCCAGCACTTTGGGAGGCCGAGGCGGGTGGATCACGAGGTCGAGAGATCGAGACCATCCTGGTCAACATGGTGAAACCCCGTCTCTACTAAAAATACAAAAAATTAGCTGGGCATGGTGGCACGTGCCTGTAATCCCAGCTACTCAGGAAGCTGAGGCAGGAGAATTGCTTGAACCCAGGAGGCGGAGGTTGCGGTGAGCTGAGATCACGCCATTGCACTCCAGCCTGGGTAACAAGAGCGAAACTCCGTCTCAAAAAAAAAAAAAAAATAGTTTTAGAAGGAGAACGATTACATGAAAAAAATAAACATTAAAAAAATTATTTAAATTTTTAATAATTTTTAATAGAAATGGCATCTTGCTATGTTGCCCAGGCCGGTTTGAACTCTTGGCCTCAAGAGATCTTCCCACTTTGAACTCCCAAAGTGTTGGGATTACAGGTGGGAGCCACCACACCCAGCCAGGAAAATTCTTTTTTCAGGAAAGCTTATTTCCTATTCCATCAAAATGTTTTCAAAACAATGAAATTTAATGAAAGATAAAATGGTTCCTTAAAAAAAAAGTTCCCACCTACCTGAATAATACATTCCATGAGATATTCTTGAGCCAAAGCATCCCTACAGTTTACAACTTGCTCCAATATGCCAGTCAGAACAATCTAAAAGAGAAAAAAAAAAACAAATGTAAGGGTTAAAATATGTTTTCAAAATCTTAAGCTGGCCAGGTGCAGTGGTTCATGCCTATAATCCCAGCACTTTGGGAGGCCAAGGTGGGCAGATCATGAGGTCAGGAGTTCAAGACCAGCCTGGCCAACATGGTGAAATCCTGTCTCTACTAAAAATACAAAAATTAGCTGGGCATAGTGGCACGTGCCTGTAATCCCAGCTACTCAGGAGACTGAGGCAGGAGAGCTGTTTGAACTCGAGAAATAGAGACTGTAGCCGGGCACGGTGGCTCATGCCTGTAATCCCAGCACTTTGGGAGGCCGAGGCAGGTGGATCACGAGGTCAAGAGATCGCGACCATCCTGGTCAACATGGTGAAACCTCGTGTCTACTAAAAATACAAAAAAAATTAGCTGGGCATGGTGGCGCGTGCCTGTAATCCCAACTGCTCAGGAGGCTGAGGCAGGAGAATTGCCTGAACCCAGGAGGCGGAGGCTGCGGTGAGCCGAGATCGCACCATTGCCCTCCAGCCTGGGTAACGAGAGCGAAACTCCGTCTCAAAAAAAAAAAAAAAAAAAAAAGAGAGAGAGACTGTAGGGAGCCGAGAACTGCACCACTGCACTGCAGCCTGGGCAACAAAGCAAGACTCTGTCACAAAAAATAAATAAATAAATAAATAAAAATTATTAAGCTATTCCTCTATTAACACATTTGAACTACTAACTTGATCGTATTTGAGATTTTTCCTCACCAAGACTTCACTTCTTAACTTTAAAAGCTTTTTTCTGAGACAAAGTCCTGTTCTATTGCCCAGGCTGGAGTACAGTGGTGCACTACTCAATGCAATGTCCACCTCCTGGGCTCAAGTCAACCTCCCACCTCAAGCCTCCTGAGTAGCTGGAACTACAGGTACGTTCCACCATGCCCAGCTAATGTTGGTACTTTTTTGTGGAGATGGGGTCTCCCTATGTTGCCTGGGATTATCTCAAACTCTTGGACTCAAGTGATTCATCTGCCTTGGCCTCTCAAAAGCGAGCTTTTTTCTTCATGGCTTGTGCTTTTTTGTGTGTCCTCAGAAATCTTTGTCTAATCCTAGGTCATAAGGACTTCCTCTGTGTTTTCTTCTAAGTTTTAGGTTCTATATTTAGGTCTCGATCGATTTTTATGTTTTTTATATATGGTATGAGGAATGGGTCAAGGTTCAGAGTTTTTTGTTTCCATATAGATATACGATTGCTCCAGAACCACTTGCTAAAAAGGTTGCCTTTGTACTTTTATCAAAAGTAACTGATCATAAATATCTGGGTCTAGTAAGGATTTTCGATTCAGAGATCAGTAAATTGAGTTGCTGCTTGTTTTTACAAATAAAGTTTTACTGGAACACAGCCATATCCACTCACTTCCATATTGTCCGTGGCTGCTTTTGCACCATACCTGCAGTGTTATTATAGACCAAAGGTGTCCAATCTTTTGGCTTGAAGAAGAATTAAAAGAATTGTCTTGGGCCACACATAAAACACACTAATGATAGCTGATGAACTTTAAAAAAAAAAAAAAAAAGCAAAACAACTCATGTTTTAAAGCTCACAAATTTATGCTGGGCCATGTTCAAAGCTGTCCTGAGCCACAGGTTGGACAAACTTGTATAGCATATGTCGTGCAAAGCCAAAAACCGTTTATTATCTGGTCCTTCACAGGTAAAGTTTGCCATTCCCTGCTTTATTCCCCCTCCCTTCCATTGATTTATGTATCTATCCTTTTCACCAATACCTCTCAGGATCTCACTGTAGCTTTAGAGTAAATCACGAATTCAGGTTGCTTGGGTCTTTCAATTTTGTTCTTCCTTTTCAAATTCGTTGTAGCTGTTCCAGGTTCTTTGCTTCGTCATATAAATGTTAGGATTTTAACTAAGATTACATAGAAGCTATAGATCAATTTTTTTTTTTTAAATGCTATCTTGACAATATTAAGTCTTCCAATCCACAAACACTGCACATACATCTTTCCATTTATTTGGGTCTTCTTCAATAAAAGCAATTTTAAGATTTTTTCAATGTAATATTATATAACAAAAATATTCTGATTTTAAAAATCAGATTTCAGTTTATCTCAGAACAGAAGAGGTAACAAATAAAAAGATATGAACCTGTTTGTAACGCTCCACATTTACACCTTCCAACTGACTGAGGCGCACCAAATTTGTTCCCACTAAAATTCTCAGTTCTTGTCTTTCTCGTTCTCTTTTTTCTCTATCTCGGCTATGTCCCTGATGCTGCATTCGCACCCAAAGCTTGTTCATTTCTGCAAAGTTGAGCAGTACAAAATCCATGGAATCACTGATATCGCCAGTTGTTTCTTCACTGCAGAGAAACAGAAAAGTCTTTACACAGTATTTATAGGACCAACTTACTACTATCCCTTTCCTTTGTGTATTTCCTTCTTATCTCTGTAGTATACCAATGCTTTATAAAAAAAAAAAAAAAATACTTTCAACTTCATTGGCTTAGTATTAAATTTCAAAGGGAACATACTCTAGGGAGAAAAGTACCACGGAGAAGACAGTGTAAACTTAAAGCACGAATTACTTTCCTCAACTCTCTAGCCTGGGCCAACTGGATTTGCTCTTATGGCAACTTCCTTAATTCAGAAAGCCCAGAAGGATGGGCATGGTGGCTCATGTTTGTAATTCCGGTGCTTTGGGAGGCCAGTCAGGAATATCGCTTTAGGCCAGGAGTTTAAATACAGCCTGGACAACATAATGAGACCCCCTCCCTACAAACCAAAAACAAAAACAAAAGGCTAAAAAATTTAACACTTACGGTGTACTGCTAACTATATCATTTTACTGTTGAATATTTTGTTTTTAATTGGAATGTAAGTTTGTGAGGAAAGAGATCATGGATTTCCTGCTTTATTTTTCTCTATCTCCTAGGATGGAGACCTCGGTAGCTTTCAAAAATTTTCATTGATTGCCTAATTAAATGCTAAAAAGGGACAGTCAAAACATAATAAAGCAAATTAACTTCATCAATTTCTCTACATTGTTAATTTTTTCATCTTTTCTGTACTGTTTATACCATTGAATTGTACATCTTAAAAATAAATGAAAATATTTTTTAAAAAAACAAAATCTGTCAGAACAAACTGAAAAATAAAAGATAATTTTTTTTTTTAAAAAAAGGAAATAAATGAATAAACTTTTTAAAACAATGAAGTTCTTTAATCTGGGGACCTGCCAAGTGAACAGCTCACCCCACTGAAAACCACAGTTGGCTAACCATCTGCCCCTGCTGTGGGATAAAAGTACAGTAGACTTGGATGACAGAATACTGGTTACACAAGAGATGGGTGTCTCTGAATGGCTTTTAATTTTTTCTTTTCTGAAGTTAATAGCTAACTTGAAACAGATAATTCAAATCATTTCTATTCCAAGGTAACTAGCAGTCTATAAATTATAAAATCTGACAGACATTAAAGGAACAACTACAAAATCCAGCTAGCTCATACTTCATTATTTCATTACAAATTAAATTTCCAAATAAAACCCTCTTTAAAACGTTGTATTTTCAAAAAATATTTAATGTAATGGAAAAATGCTCAATTACATTACATGAAAAAAAAAAAAAAAAAGCAGGTCATAATAACCCAAAGATATAATTTGCCTAAGAGTACATTTTAGATCACACCATGTATACTCAGGAGTTCTATATTACAAAGAAAATCTACATACAAATGCTACCTAAATGGCTGACTGGGTGGAAGAATTATTGATACTTATTTTCTTATTTCTGTGCATGTTTCCACACTTTTATACATTCTACAATGAAGGAAATATTGCAACAAAATCAAGAAAGAAAATCACTTACTCTGTTGGCTCTCCTTCATCAGGTAAGATATTTCTGGTACACTGAAGAAGGTAATTTCGAAGAAACAGACCCCTCAAGGGATGCTGCACGCCACGGCACATTTCTACCAAATCTTTCAAAATATCCTTCCTTGATTGAGGAAATGACTTGACATATACAACTCCAACTGTGATCAAAAGGTAACTAAGAGAATTATGAAGAAACGCTGATTAGAAATAAAATATTCAAATCAAGAATTTGATTAGTTCCAAACACACTGAACAAAACACTAAATAAATAAGGCAGAAACCATGTTGTTTTCTCCTCCATGACAATGAAAATATCTGATTTAAAATATAACCACTGACTAACCTCTAAAAATACCACACACATACACACTGTATACATACAAGATAGATATTACCTTTAAACATATTAGGAAGAGAATTGTCATATTAATTTTTCTAATAGCTAAGACATTAAACAAAATAGCACGTCCATTTTTTATTTCCAAATTCCTCAAATATCTATATAAAATGTAAATCTAGTTACTCTAACACAAATGAGAGTATCTACCAAAATATTCATCTCAATTTGTTAAGAAATTACCCTTAAAACTTTTTTTAAAGCTGATAATCATAAGTGACATAACATAAAGTGGGAAATACAGACACAAAAGTCTTACAACCTGTAATTACTTACAGCCTTGGGATAATGTTTCCAGCATACTGTACAAGTTCATAGAGATCTGCCACTTTTCTTCCTTTAGCAAATTCATCTGTCAGGTAGACCTCCAAGTAGTGCAATTCATCAGAAATGGCCATATCTTTTAATTATGATTAAGGACTAAAAATAAAGATAAGCCAACCTAAGCAAAACTCTGAAACTTCTTGGAGCCATCATTAACTACTAGGCAGATATTTTACGTTTTAGTCCTTTAAGAGAGTGTTCAGGCCAGGTGCAGTGGCTCACGCCGGTAATCCCAGCACTTTTGGAGGCGAAGGCGGGTGGATCACGAGGTCAAGAGATTGAGACCATCCTGGCCAACATGGTGAAATCCTGTCTCTACTAAAAATACAAATATTAGCCAGGCATAGTGGTGTGTGCCTGTAGTCCCAGCTACTCAGGAGGCTGAGGCAGAAGAATTGCTTGAACCTGGGAGGCAGAGGCTGCAGTGAGCCGAGATTGTGCCACTGCACTCCAGCCTGGGTAACGAGCGAAACTCCATCTCAAAAACAAAACAAAACAAAAAACAAAAAAACCAGGAGTGTTCAAGTGAAAATAGAATTTTAGTTGGGCTTATCTTACTTTAACGTAAGGGTTTTAAAGAACATGTGGTGAAGCAAAGCAGTAAATACAGTGGTTACCTGTCAGACTGCTAATGGGTTTTGAAATGGCAAATGATTAAATTCCTGTCCATTTGAGAGTGCTGCATAACAAAATCTAAGCATTAAAGAACCAACTGCCTCACAGCCTGAATATCCTTCATGAAGGGTCTGAAAATTGAGATGCACTGACAACACACTTAAAACACATTTAAGCATAAGAAAGGGGTACTCCAAAAGCATTTTTCTCACTTAGCATATCTGCATGGAGGTGTGCATTTGACTAAGATAACAAAGAATAAGATAACTCCAGAAAAACTTCATAAAGAACGAACAAAATTGCCTTATCAAGAAAAAGGTATGGTCCAAATATTTAGTCTTCAACATTCAAAAGATACAAAGTTCATAGTAGCTCTTTGGTGATAACATAGAAGTCCGGAGTTCACCAAGCATATTAGACGCATGTTTTAGAGCATCCATAAGCTTGTTTTTGTCCTACAGAAATACCGAGAGAATCAGAAGGCTTAATTTAAATAAACATTTATATTGGTTGCACAAACTCTTTACATCAAGGACTTGTTACATAGTTTTAAAAGGATACAGCACTTAAATGATACAACCACAGAAAAAAATCAACTTTAGATAGTTTCATCTTGCCTTCCCTACTGAAAGGAAAAAGATGCATGATTCTTACTAAGACTTACATATCTAGTACTGCAAGCTTCTTGACAGACTGCTAATCTTTTCAAGCTATAGAGACTAGGAAACTAGTCCATTAATCACATTTTACCTGCAATCAAGAGAACTGGCATACCCATTCAGGTGAAGCAACATACTATCCTGACGTGGCTTTGTCACAGGTTAAAGACTCTTCAGAGCTGTCTGAAATGACTATCTATGTTAAGTTTGCTTTCCTCTTGCATTCCTCAAACCCTCCCAATGCCCACATGTTCCTCCACTTAACTCAGAAATGCAGGCAATTCCTTGAGATAGGGGAAACACTATCCATACATAGAAAGAGAAAGAAGCAAGCAATAGCAAACCTATCTTTTCCATTCCAAGACATTTATTTTTCATTTCCAATTTGTTGGGAATGAAACCAATAAAAGATACAAGAGCATATTACTATGCTTTAGAAACTTTAAGACATTTTACAAAGGTAAGATAGCATCATCTTCATCACAGTAACTTATAGCTTAAAGTACCAACCAATCCAGAGAATCTACAAGTATATACACAGATAATCTCTGACTTTATCTTTTAGAATATGAAGATATAAATGTTTAAGTATAATTTTTAAGCTAGTTTCTACAATGTATTCAAGAAATTAGTTTTCAAAATATTTAGGAAAAAAGCTGAATAATTCAAATGCAAAGCATTTAAATCCATTTATTCAACAAATATTTACTGAGTACCTACTATATGGTAATTACTCCTCAGGTCTGAGGTATAGAACTAAGAAGACTAGTAATTCTGGTCAGACACTGCTGTGGTAATAACACAGTAATATGTAAATAAAAGGAAGGGTCTCTTGTTCTTCCAAGCTTGTATTCTGGTGGGGAAAACAGACAATCTCAAACCATAAATATACATGTGAGTAAACAGGGCTCTTTGTTGAAATTGCTCCACACAGTATTTGAGAGAAATGAGACTGAAGACAGATGCTGGTAGACAGTGAAGATTAAATTTACCAGAAACAGTGGTGCCACCTAACTCTAGAAAACACTGCAGATGCTTCCTTAGGAACACATGGACTGTGACTGTGCCTCCCATATTTCCATTCTTACCAGGCATCTCTTCATTTGGAATGATTGGACCTTCACAGCCTGTATGGCTTCATCCAAGAGCTTTTCCTGCTCATCCTGAGGGGACTGCTGTGTTGTAGGCTGAAAAACAAAAAATTCCACTAACGTCTTAAGCACATTCTTCAAGCAAATATGTAACTTCTATAGTTCTAGTCATAGTTCTTCTCCAAAACTGTCACAAAATGGCCATGCCAGCTCTGTACCTCAAACCATTTGCCAATTATTGACAGCTGCTGCATACAGAGCGGTGCCCCATCACTGAAGTTAACAGAATAAGAATGACAAAGGAGAACAGTATGTGTACAAAGGATTGCTCTCAGAAACTGACTCAACATTCTTGTAGTAGGCTGGCCTCAAAGAAACTTGCAGTGGTAGCTCATGGCTGTATTCTGCTAACACTCTTGAATCCAACCTGGACATAGCCATCCAACCAATCTAAGTCTTGTGGTAGGTATAGCCGAAACCAAATCTCTTAAGCCTCTCTTTTCCTCTAGACTACTTATCATCCGCATTTTAGTCTGAGACAGACTAAGGAACTAGTTTATGAGAACACTGACCAGCCCCTCCTTGGCATAACAAAAGCATAAACAGCTTAGAAATAAAATAGCCGAAATTGTTAGTGACTTTTAGTATAAAACAATAAAGAGCACTCTCCTCAAATAGCTTACACCATTTCAAACATACAGATCTGCAACTACAGTGGACAAAATATATCTAGACACTCTTCTCCTTGCCATCAGCAAAAATCTGCTTGCAGAAATCAATTCAATCTCCCTGCCAAGAAGAATTAACCACTTCTTCAAGTCATATTAACACCGTTTACAACTCCACCACAGCATGCATCACATTACCATTATAAATGGTCATTTTTACATTCTTGGGACCCAACACACTGCTTTAATATGTAATGGATGCTCCATAAATGCTCCCTGCATAAATGAATACAATGGTTTTAGAATGTTTAGATATTTAACCAAAAAAATTACTGAAGAATTAACAGATGAATAAACAAATTTTGGTATATATTTCCAATTACAGAATATTAGCCATAAAATGGAATGAAGTATTGCTACGTGCTACATAAACAAACCTAGAAAACATGCTAAATTAAAGAAGCTAGACACAAAAAGCCACATATTGTATGATTCCTCTTATATGAAATAGGAACAGAAAGACTGATGATTACCAGGAGGGAGGTTGGGGGAAATAACTGCTTAATGGGTACTGAGTTTCTTTTGGGGGTAGGGAAATGTTTTGAACCTAAAGGTGGTGATTGTATAATATTGTGAGCCTACTAAATGCCACTGAATTGTTCACTTTAAAATGGTTAATTTTATGTTATGTCATTTCACTTTGATTTTTTAAAACAATGACTAAAGACAAAATGCCTCTCACATAATGAGTTGAAGAGGTGGAAGGCAAGGACTTATACAAAAAGCTGCAAGTAAAATCTGGTCTGTTTCATTATCTAAGAAAAATCAAAACAACATGTCATTTTGAGATTAACAAAGAAATGTGAGTCACATAAAACCCACTTATGAATGAGAATAGTTTAAAAAATTGAAGTTCCAAAAATTGTTATTTTGGAAAGAGAAAAAGGTTAATTGAGTATAAGCAAGGTCGTGCATCTCCCTTTTTTCCCCATGACAAACTCTAGTACACTTGAGCTCTATCGCAAGCACTTTTCCTCAGAAGCATAAACAAATTTCAAAGAAACAGTTAGGTATCTTTTAAATTTCACTTAGAGGGAACATGAATTTATCCCAGCAGAACTATTACGATAAAATACTGGTTTCAGAGGCAAAGATGACACCGGCATTTAAAGATTCTGACTGAAAAAAATTTACTATTCATCATGAGCTAGTGATCTCTGAACTTTAGTGAAACCAAGCCATCATTTGGAATTTTTTGGCTCCTTACCTCTGAATGCAATAGATTTAATAATAAATTGAATCAATGGATTTAATTAAGTTCAATTGATCCATTTAGAGATAAACAGTGATATATCTGAATTTTTTTCTTTTTTTATGATACATTTGGATATCTTAATTAAAAATGATTTCTTATTGTGGTAAAATATACCTAAAATTTACCATTTTAATCACATTTAAATGTATAGTTCAGTGGCATTAAGTACATTCACATTATTATACAGTTACCACATCTATCTCTAGAACTTATCTTTACAAATGCAAATGGAAACTGTACCCATTAAACTCCCATTCCAACCCCCCAGGCAATTCTACCTTCTTTCCTCTGAGCTTGACTACTCTATATACTTCGTGTAAGTGAAATCATATAATATTTTTCCTTTTATATCTTATTTCATTGGGCATAATATATCCAATGTTCGTTCATTCATGTTGCAGTGTCAGAATATCCCTCTTTTTTTTTTTTTTTCTGAGATGGAGTTTCACTCTTGTTGCCCAGGTTAGAGTACAATGGCACAAACTCCGCTCACTGCAAGCTCCGCCTCCTGGGTTCAAGCGATTCTCCTCCCTCAGCCTCCTACAGACCAAAGCAAAGGTCATCATGAACTGATCACTTGGAAAACCCTCCATTCAAACAATGTGCTTTTGTTTCCTCTTCTATAAAACAGAGATGAGAGTACCTGCACCACTGTTAAAAAGAACAAATTAAACCACATAAAGCTCAAAATGTGCCTACTGCTTAGCAATAAGCACTTAATAAATGCTACAATTATTATACATTTTTTGAGACGGAGTCTCGCTCTGTCGCTAAGCTAGAGTGCAGTTACAAGAGATCGGCTCACTGCAATCTCCAACTTCCTAGTTCAAGCGATTCTCCTGCCTCAGCCTCCTGTGTAGCTGGGATTACAGGCATGCGCTGCCAAGCCCAGCTAATTTTTGTTTTGTTTTCTTTTTTTTTGAGATGGAGTTTTGCTCTTTTGCCCAGGCTGGAATGCAATGGCCCAATGGGCACACTGCAATCTCCGCCTTCTGGTTTCAAGCTATTCTTCTGCCTCAGCTTCCTGAGTAGCTGGAATTACAGGCGCCTGCCATCACACCCTACTAATTTTTGTATTTTTGGTAGAGACGGGGGTTTCGCCATGTTGGCCAGGCTGGTCTCGAACTCCTGACCTCGTGATCCACCCACCTTGGCCTCTCAAAGTGCTGGGATTACAGGCGTGAGCCATCGCACCCAGCCAATTTTTGTATTATTAGTAGACACGGGGTTTCAACACGTTGGCCAGGATGTTCTCCATCTCCTGACCTTGTGATCGGCCTGCCTCAGCCTCCCAAAGTGCTGGGATTACAGGTGTGAGCCACTGCACCGGGCCTACAATTATTATATCCAGTTCAGATGCAAATAATTATCTCCACTTATGTTAGAAACCTATTACAGTTCAATCACCCTGCTCATATGCTGTAGATGTAATCTGACAAATACAATGTAAACCAACTGTAAAATGAAAACTGATCTCTTCAAAGATACAGAATATCGAGTTAATAAAATAACTGTTTAAAAAATGATGGCATGGCATACATTAACAACTGAAGCAGTGAGAAATAAGGATGACCAGAGCATGAGAACTTCAAAATATAATTTGAACACCAAATGGCTCTAACTTCATTTACCAATACATACCACCAAGCATCCTCTGATGGAGCACACTCAACATTCTGGTTTCATCTATTAGCAATACCTTTTCTTTCCACCTGGAGAATTTCTGTCCACCCTCTACAGTCTCAGTTCACGTGTAACTTCCTGTAGTCCTTCCCAAAATCCCCAGGCAAAACTACCTCTCTATGACCCCAAAGCACTGAGTTAACAATGCTAGTAAAGCAATCCGCATACTGTATTACAATTAAGTTCTTTAAGCGTGTCTCCTCCAGTAGCCTCTTAAGTTCGAACATTAGTACCCAGCGCCACAGTCCGTGACACTGAAAGCACACAAGCTGTTCGATGAATTTATGTGGAATCTGGAACTTCAGGGCTGAGACGGGCCAAAGGGGCCAACAGTTGCTTCCAGATGCAAAAGTATGACACCAAGAAGACTAAGTGACCTGCTTAAATTATAAAAACTGTGATAGAACAAATACTCAAGTTTCCTTTTGCAATAAAATTAATGAGGACAAGACTGTGTGTCTAGCTGATTGCTCCCAACTGGTTCACCCAACAAAGAGTTGGTGTGTAATACACCCTCAATTAAGTATTTTCCATTATGAAACAATATAAATGTCAATCCACAAATGCTGGGAAACACCCAAATCCTAAAAAGTTAAATTTTTATGCCAGTCTTGTATCAATTCCCAATTGCAAAAATTCTGAAAAGCAGGCAAAAATCACCTTGTACGGCAATATCTTACATGAAAATAGTATTTGTAAAACATTTAATCCTTGCTGGCATTAAAACATTTAAAGTGAAATCTGTTTCCAGGCTTACAGATTTACAGAAGCCTGTCTACAGAGTGGATAAGATAATTAAAGCTGACACACAGTATACACTCAAAAATATTACTTACACAGTGTAGGCTACGTCAAATGCTAATAAAATACAAGTGACAACTTGCCTTTGGGGGAACCAGACACAAAGATTCAGTTTGAGGAAGTTCAAGTTTACCGGCCAACAGCCACACCACGATTTACTGCCGTCATACAGCGGCCCTACGGAGAACTGCTTCCAGCCAGTCAAATACTTGGATTTCATCAATGGAGACAAAAGACCCAGCGTGCGCCCAATGCACAAATGCTAAAGGAAACAATCAGTCTCCTTTCCGATCGTCAAGATTACAAGACAGCCTGAGTCCTTCCAGGAAATTCATGTAAGCAGGTCCCCAGAACTCGCTGACAAGCACTGCAGCCGAAGGCGGGTTTGAGGTCAAGAAAGGCCAAGGAACCACTGCGACCCCTCCAGGAGGCCGTGTGGACAGCCGAGCACAACCAGGCACAAAGGTGGAAACGCAACATCTGGGCGGGTCCCGGCGCCACCTCCGAGTCTCAGGGCCTCCGCGCGTCGCGGGGTCCAGACGCTCAGACCTAGGGCAACGGGTCCCCTCGTGGCAGGCAGGTGGCCGATTCCACTGAGAGGAGGCCGCAGGCCTTGATGGACCCCAAAGCCTACAGGCGAAGTCACCCCCCCAGAGAGGCCGCCCCGTTTCTGAGCAACGGCCGCAGCCAGGAGCCGCCGCCCACCCCGGCAGTCAGCCCGCCAGCGGCCTTCCTCGTCTGGTCCTCTATCCCGCAGGCCAAGTCGGGCTGCTCTCAGTCCCAACAGGTCTCGGGGCCCCTACTCCTCCCGCTGGGCCCCGGGGCGGTGGGAGAGAGCAGGGGCTACAAGAAGGGTCGGCCCGGGTCCCGCTGCCCACTCAGCACTCACCATGGCGACTCCCCGGAGCCTGCAGCAAGCGGCACCCACCCCACGCAGAGCCTCTCGCGGTCATGTGACACTGCGGCCCCTCCAAGCCCCGCCCTCTCTAGCCCCGCCTCCGGACCCTGCAGACGGCTTCTCGATTGGCCTGCTTCTAGGAACCCAAGTCTCGCGTGTTTATTGGCTCTGGCTACTTAAAGCTGGATGGACGGACCTGGGCGCCAGCCAATCTCACCACAGCGTGTGAGAATGGGTGGGGCAGTGCAAGGCAGTGGGGATCGCCCGGCGGCAGGCAGTAGACAGCAGGAGGGAAAGGCAGTGTGTGATGAGTTTGTCAAGAAAAAAGGAATGGGTGGCTGGGGAGCAGACAAGTCCATGTTCTCTGTATCCGTCCGCCTTGGCGAGCGCGCTCGTGACGCACATGCGCAAAAGGAAGACCCTGATTAGTTTGTGGGACGGTCTCAATCTGGTCCCAACCAATCCAGATACGCCGGAGGTGGGGCCTGGCCCTCACTGGCTGGCACAGAGTGCGCGCGGGTTTCGTCGCCCCGCGGCGTTCGCCGGAGTTGATCACTTTAGTGGGGGCGGCATGGGGTCGGAGCTGATCGGCCGTCTGGCCCCGCGCTTAGGCCTCGCTGAACCCGAATTGCTGAGGTGAGTTTCGACAGCGCAAGACCAGGGCTGGGCTTCCGCCTCGCGGCCCTGGGCCCTCAGGCGAGGCCCGCGCCCTTCCCATGCGACGGGCGGCGCAGGAGTGACGAGGAGCGCTGGGGCTGGACAGGGTTTAGAACCTACTTCAAGAGAGACTTCCTGGCGATGGGCTTGCTTGAGGTGTCAAGAAGGGCGATGGCAGACGTCCCTGGGAACAGCCAGCCCTGTCTGTGGGTGGCACAGTGGTAGGGAGAAGAACGAGCGCGGGAGAACTTCCGCTCATTCCGCTGACGCCTACTGCAGTCGAGGTTACAGCTGCTAACCTGATATCGTGGCGCAGAGCCCCGCTGTCTGTAAAGGGCGAGGACTGCGTAGACCTTCAACCGAGTAATATGCCGGAGCCACCGGACTTGAGGTGGAGCGCGGCCTAGCGGAAAACTCGGGAAGGCAGGTTCCGTTCCCGCTGAGGCCGGATTGATGGAAGGTGCCGGGCGAGGAAGCTGTGGCAAGAGCAGCCCAGGCAGGGACGACACCTCCTGCAAAAGCCGTCGGATGGGAAGCGGGATCTGGAGTTCGGAATAAAGCCATTGTAGCTAAAACGTGGAGAGCAGGACCAGGCTCTGTGCTTCAACAGTCAGGCGAGCGAAGGCAAGGAAAAGAGCGCTTAAAAACATTTGAAGACACACCTGCAGGACTCGATAGTCATTTAGAACAGTGGTTCTCAAAATGTGGTTCCTGAACTAGCAACAGCCATATCATCTTGTCACTTGTTAGAAATACAAATTCTTGGGCCCCACCTCAAGCATACTGATCAGTCACTCAGCCTGGTTCCCCCGTAATTTGTTTTCACAAGCCCTAAGGTGATTTTCGCATGCATTGAAGTTTTAAGAACTACTGATTTAAAGGAAATGGGGGGGAAAGAGGAACCCTGGTCTAACCTGCCTACCTCTAAAATAGTTCATGCTTGTTCCAGTAATGGAAGGAGGAAAGAAGGGTTATTTATTTATTTATTTATTTTTAATCGAAATTTGACTTAACTTTTGCCTGAAAACGTTTGAGCACAGTGATGTTTGGAGCCAGTTCTGATTCTTCCTCTCTTCAGAGGATACAATCTTCATACCCAGCCCCAGATAAATGTGCACTGGAGTTTAGGCTTAGTGTGACATTCATCAAGCTGTAGTTATTGTTTACTAAAGTGTTGAGCAAACTTCTGAATAAGAGTTGTAGCTAACACACTGCCCTTTTATCTAGGAAAGCAGAGGAGTACTTGCGCCTGTCCCGGGTGAAGTGTGTCGGCCTTTCTGCACACACCACGGAGACTAGCAGTGCAGTCATGTGCCTGGACCTTGCAGCTTCCTGGATGAAGTACCCCTTGGACAGGGTAAGTAGGTCCCACCGAATATCTGAATAATCCAGTGCAACACTGAAGCTCTTTTAACTTTTAATTGAAATAAACCCCAGTTAAAACTCTTGTTTTGGAATTGTCCTGGCTATTCTTGTATAATTTCTGGAAATACTGTAGAATCATTTTGAGTTGGAAAAAAATTTTTTGCCACGTTTTCTTTACTCTTCACTAATTTTTCCTGACCACCTCTTTCTTGGGAAGAGGCCATCTTCCACATTGCTGCTAGCATTATCCTCCTTTTAAAGCACGTCTTTCAAAACCCCTATGCTTTTCTTCTAATATCACAGTGCTTGAAAGAACAAGCTTTCGGGTCAGGAGGTGTTGCATATTGAGATCAAATCTCCACACTAGCTAGCTCTTTTAACCTCCAATGTGCTCACCCATAAATTGAAGATAAAATAACCAATTTTACTAGATTATCATGAGGATTAAATGTACATAACACTGTTAACACAGTACTCGTGTCATAACGATACGCTTATTAAATGGTAATATTAAAAACAGTTTTGTTGATTACCATCGAACTCTCTAGCCTCTCTTGAATCCTGGCCTCAAGCTACAGTATTCACATAACAGATTCTCCACTTCAATGATTTGTGGCTTTATAAATGCAATATCTTGTTTTTTCCTGCAGTACTCTTCTGGTAAACTCCTTTTTGTCTTACATGACCCTGCCTGATTGTTATATTCTTTATGAAACTTGCCTTAACTCTCCCAGGCAGAGCTAGTATCCCACAGTGGATCCTCCTGTTTACCTTCCTACTTTCCTTTTCCTCTTTCTCTCCTGCATACACACACACACCTGCCCCCGATTCCACTCCCACTACTTCTCTCCTTCTTTTTCCCAGTAAATTACACGTTAACAGCTTTGTATAAACACAAGTAACCATATATGTGTTTCCTGTGGTTTTTTAACTACCTGTTTGACTATATTAATATTGTGTTATAATTTTAAATTATCTGTGCATAGGCATGACTGTCTTTGTATAGTTTGAACTCTTTTCGAGAGCAGTACTTCCTCTGCCTGATGTGTTTACTAATTTTTTGACTGAGCAAAGCTAAACCTTTAGGTAGAGTGACTTGCCACAAAATTAATTTTGAAAAGTCATACCACTTATTAAACAAGTGTTTAAAGGTACTAATATATAGAACTTAAGGTTTTTATGATTCATGTATGTGTTTTTTCCTTTCACAGACCTATTTAATTAAACTTTCTGGTTTGAGCAAGAAAACATATCAGAGCTGTCTTAAGTCTTTTGAGTGTTTACTAGGCCTAAATTCGAATATTGGAATAAGAGACCTAGCTGTACAGTTCAGCTGTACAGAAGCAGTGAACATGGCTTCAAAGATACTAAAAAGGTATGGGGCATAAAGAATCTTAATTGAAAATGTATACCGATAGGCTGGGTGCAGTGGCTCATGCCTGTAATCCCAGCACTTTGGGAGGCCAAGACGGGGGCGGTTCACATGGTCAGGAGTTTAAGACCAGCCTGGCCAACATGGTGAAACCCCATTTCTACTAAAAATACAAAAAATTAGCTCAGTGTGGTGGCACCCAGCTACTAGGGAGGCTGAGGCAGGAGAATTGCTTGAACCCAGGAGGTGGAGGTTGCAGTGAGCCAAGATTGTGCCATTGCATTCCAGCCTGGGTGACAGAGCAAGACTCAGTCTCGTGGGGAAAATAAAAAGAAAAACCAGAAAATTTATACTGATAGATAAAGAAAAATTATCTACTGTCCTATTCTGGTTAATTTTCGGTCTTAAAAAAAAAAAATCTCCTATGTCAAAGTGACTGCACATATCTAATGCATTTTAAAAGCTTGTAAGTTCTGGTTTGCACTTTCAATCTCTTTTGAAATAATATTTTCTAACATATAATTCTGCAATAACCTCTCCTTTAGCTATGAGTCCAGTCTTCCCCAGACACAGCACGTAGATCTTGACTTATCCAGGCCACTTTTCACTTCTGCTGCACTGCTTTCAGCATGCAAGTAAGTATTTCTTTAAACATTCAGAAAAGTTCCTAATTTACAAGTGGGTTTTTTATTCCCAAGGAATACTTCTAATTTAGTTGATTTCAATTCAGAGCATATTTTCCCCTAGAAATATTAGGAATATTGGCCAAGTGACCATATTCCCAGTTTGTCACATAATGTAGCTAACAACTTGGAACTAGTGTTACCGGAATTCCACTAGCCAAATAGCAGCTGTATACATATATGTAGCTGAGAATTCTGATTTCAGTCTGCCTTTTATAAAAGAGGATATCTGTCATTAAAACAATGTTCTTGCCAGGGCGCGGTGGCTCACACCTGTAATCCCAGCACTTTGGGAGGCTGAGGCGGGTGGATCACGAGGTCAAGAGATCGAGACCATCCTGGTCAACATGGTGAAACCCCGTCTCTACTAAAAATACAAAAAATTAGTTGGGCATGGTGGTGCGCGCCTGTAATCCCAGCTACTCAGGAGGCTGAGGCAGGAGAATTGCCTGAACCCCAGAGGCGGAGGTTGCGGTGAGCTGAGACCGCGCCATTGCACTCCAGCCTGGGTAACAAGAGCGAAACTCCGTCTCAAAAAAAAAAAAAAATAATAATGTTCTTGTATAATTTTCTGCTTACATTTTTAAAAAGGTACTGGCTGGTGGGAGGCGGAGGTTGCAGTGAGCCAAGATTACACCACTGCACTCCAGCCTGGTGACAGAGTGAGACTCTGTCTCAAAACAAAAAAAGGTACTAGCTGGGCCAGGTGTGGTGGCTCCTACTTGTAATCCCAACACTTTGAGAAGCTGAGGCAGGAGAAATGCTTGAGGCATGGAGTTCAAGACTATTCTAGACAACATAGTGAGACTCCAATCTCTTAAAAAAAAAAAAGTGGGGGGTGGTGGGCAGGCAAGGTGGCCCATGCCTATAATCTCAACACTTTGGGAGGCCAAGGTGGGCGGATCATCTGAGGTTGGGAGGTTGAGACCAGCCTGACCAACATGGAGAAACCCTGTCTCTACTAAAACTGCAAAATTAGCCTGGCATGGTGGCTCATGCCTATAATCCCAGCTACTCAGGAGGCTGAGACAGAAGATTCACTTGAACCCGGAAGGTGGAGGTTGCAGTGGTACCATTGCACTCCAACCTGGGCAACAGAGCAAGACCCTGTCTCAAAAAAAAAAAAAAATTAGCTGAGTGTCAGCACATGCCTCCAGTTGTGGTTTCTCAGCTACTCAGGAGGCTGAAGCTGAAGGCTCACTGGAGCCTGGGAGTTCTTGGTTAGAGTGAGCTATGGTCATACTACTGCATTGCAGCCTAGGCAGCACAGCAACAGCCTGTCTCCAAAAAAAAATGCTGGCCACAACTGTTATTCAAGGAATTTATCACATATTTCAGTGATAAATTCTCCCATCTGAATCTTAGAATTGTGGGTTATTTATATATACTGAAATGTTACTTTGGATTAGTAATTACTGATATCTTTGTCTAAAGTTGTCTTTTTTTTTTTTTTTTTTTGGAGACAGAGTCTTGCTCTGTTGCACAGGCTGGAGTGCAGTGGCGTGATCTGAGCTCACTGTGACCTCTGCCTCCCGGGTTTAAACAATGCTCTGCATCAGCCTCCTGAGTAGCTGGGATTACAGGCTCATGCCACCATGCCCAGCTAATTTTTATATTTTTAGTAGAGACAGGGTTTCACCATCTTGGCCAGGCTGGTCTTGAACTCCTGACCTCGTGATCCACCCACCTCAGCCTCTCTGTGAGACACCGCACCCAGCCAAGTTGTCTTACTTATCTTGCCAACAAAGTCCTTAGAAAACAAAATGTAGTTGGCCCAAATGGATTTCTCACTACCTACCCACTAATTTTGATATGTTGACTCTATTAGCTACATACCTAGGAGTATTAATTGGCATTTGTGGAAAACATCTCTTTAATTCAACAAAAGTGTGTGCATATAGGCAGGAAGTGTAGCTGTTAACGGTAGAAAACAATAAGAATAGTCAACCCTACTTTTGAAACCATATCATACCAAGTAAAAAAAGGTCCTGAAAGGTCTATTGTCCTGAAGAAAAAGTTTATTTTGTGTTTTTAATTAGTGGTTGCTGTGGAGTGTTATTAAGAGAGTTCATTTTCAGGGAGGGATGGGGTTGTTCACATCCCCGTAATATAAATGTAAATATCCTGCGGGTTAAAATGAGTTGAACATTTAAAAAGTCCTATGATTGTCCTTCAGCAAATTAATCTGAGATTTACTAAAGAGTTCTAAAAGGCATGAAGCACTACAGCAAATGTGTTTTATGTGCCTCTTTTGTTATAAAACAGATCCTATGTGCATTTTAACTCTCATTCCAATAAATAACTAAATAAACAACTTAGCCAAATTTGCATGATTATAGATAAATGACATGTTTGAATAAAGGACAGTCTAGACAGAGGCTCTTAAAGCATGGGCAAAAAGAAAATAAGTTAATTATCTGGTTGGCCAGAGAAGAAAACTGTACTGGTCTTGAGAAAAGCAACTTACGAAATTGTTTTGTAGGATTCTAAAGCTGAAAGTGGATAAAAACAAAATGGCAGCCACATCCGGTGTAAAAAAGGCTGTATTTGATCGACTGTGTAAACAACTAGAGAAGATTGGACAGCAGATTGACAGTAAGTATTCTGTAGCTCAAGAATATGTCATTTGAAAATGTAGTGCTTTTGCTTGTAAAAGGCAAGTATTTTTTAAAGTAAACTTGCTGCTTTCTAAATTCTGTATTGCATGTGGACCAGATCATTAAAAGATTTTTAATGATCTTTCTAACCTATGATTCCGTGAATCTATGCCTGGAAAATAGATTCTCCATTAACACATTCCCATGTTAAATACCAGCCTCTAGATACATAAGCCAGGATAGAAATGATTCTCAAGTCTGACAAGAGAGGCCAAAGAAAAGAGAAATCTAAGATCATTTGTCTTCTTGTCTTCATATTTTATCAGTTAAGGTGTCTAATTTGATTTGTGATCCAAAACATGCCCAAATACTGAAATTGAGGATAGGAGAAAAATTAACCTTGATAACACTTTATTTTTTCTTAAAGGAGAACCTGAAGATTTAGCTACTCCACCACAGAAGAGAAAGAAGATAGTGGTTGAACCCCCAGCAAAGGGTGAGTTTTACTAACACAGTACTGACATTGACATTTTATGCAGTACAGTCCAGTGGTGCCCTAGCAGCTTACCTGAGAGGAGTACAGTTTTAAGTAAATTCTGACTGAATCATTTGATAAGACCAGTTTTCCAAGCAATCAGTAATGGAAGTAACATAGGTATTAGGTAATTAAGAATATGGCTGGCCTGGCACAGTGGCTTATTCCTGTAATCCCAGCACTTTGAGAGGCTGCAGCGGGAGGATTGCTTGAGCCCAGGAGTTCGAGACCAGCCTGAGCAGGTACAGTTAGGTATTTGTCTTACCTGGGCATGGTCTGATAGGAAGTCCTTAGTTGTATAACCAATCAGCTGGTTGGCCGTTTGTGATTGACTGGGATTATTTTTGTCTTTTGGAGGTTCTTTCCCCCCACAAAAAAAAAAGTTTTTAAGTTAAGTTCCAGTTTACTTATAAGAGCTTTAGCTACAGAGACAACCTCAGGTGAATGGCTGCTTTATTGTTTTAATATCACCTACTGGCTCTGTGATTTTTTTTTTTTTGTGACATGGCCTGGCTCTGTCAACCCATGCTAGAGTGCAATTGCATGATCTTGGTTCACTGCATCTTCTGCCTCCTGAGCTCAAACCATCCTCCCACCTCAGCCTCCTGAGTAGCTGGGACTCCAGGTGTGTGCCACTTCACCTGGCTTTTTTTTTTTTTTTTTTGAGACAGAGTCTCGTTCTGTCACCCAGGCTGAAGTGCAATGGTGCCATCTCAGCTCACTGCAACCTCCGTCTCCCAAGGTCAAGTGATTCTCTGCCTCAGCCTCCTGGGATTATAGGTGCCTGCCATCATCCCAGCTAATAATTTAGTAGAGGCTGGGTTTCACCATCTTGGCCAGGCTGGTCTTGAACTCTTGACCTCGTGATCCACCCGCCTCAGCCTCCCAAAATGCTGGGATTACAGGTGTGAGCCACCTCGCCCAGCACACGTGGCTAATTTTTGTATTTTTGGTAGAGGTGGGGTCTCACTGTTGCCCAGGCTGGTCTTGAACTTCTGGGCTCAAGTGATCCACCCCTGCTTGGACTCCCAAAGTGCTGGGATTACAGGCATGAACCACTACGCCTGGCCACTGGCAATATGATTCTAAGAAAGTCTATAATTTCTGTGAGCCTCAATTTCCTGCTTTATAAAATGTGATTAATATTCTTACCTATTATGGATTATAATAGGGGTTAAACGAAATAATGCTATTTAAAGTAGTTGGTTCGATGCCTATTAAGCACCAGTTAAGTGCTTGATAGATGTTAGTGATTACTAGATGTCTTGGAATGCTCGGAGTGTAAGGGAGAGAATAGTGATAGCTAAGCTAGGCGTGGTAGCTTATAGATTATAGGTGAGCCTATAATCCCAGCAATAGTCCCAGCTGCCCAGGAGGTGCAGGTGGGCGAATCAGTTGAACCTAGGAGTTTGAGTCCAGCCTGAGCAACATTGCAAGGCCCCATCTCAAAAAAACAGTGGTAACCGCTGTTTCTCCACTTCATTTCAGTATCTTATTTACTACGATTTTCTTAAAGTAGACAATTTAAATAAGTTTACCTTTTTAAAATTTCATTTCTAAGCATAACAGTTTTAAAGTTGCTTTTGATAATTTTCTCTCAGAAGTGGAGAAGGCAGTGGAGATGCCACATAAACCACAGAAAGATGAAGATCTGACACAGGATTATGAAGAATGGAAAAGAAAAATTTTAGAAAATGCTGCCAATGCTCAAAAGGCTACAGCAGAGTGATTTCAGCTTCCGGACTGGTATGCATTGCAAACTGATAGTACATTGCCACCTCCAGGAAGGCTTGAGGACTTTGGAATTTTGTTTAAACTTTTTTTTTTTTTTGAGATGGAGTCTCCCTCGGTCACCTAGGCAGAGTCTCCCTCGGTTGCCCAGGCTAGAGCACAATGGTGCAATCTTGACTCCCTGCAACCTCTGCCTCTCCGGTTCAAGCGATTCTCCTGACTCAGCCTCCTTAGTAGCTGGGATTACAGCGCCTGCCACCATGCCTGGCTAATTTTCCTATCTTTAGTAGAGACAGGGTCTCACCATGTTGGTCAGGCTGTTCTCGAACTCCTGACCTTGTGATCTGCCTGCCTCAGCCTCTCAAAGTGCTGGGATTACAGGCATGAGCCACCGCACCTGGCCTTCTTTAAACTTTTATAACAAGGACCCTAAGACTATTGCCTTAATAGCAAAGCAGCCTGCCTGGAGGCTGAGTTTGGGCAATGGGCTGGTCCCTGGTGTGGTCAATATCAGACCAGCCACAGTGCCTGATTGGTATAGCTTCATGCACTTTCCTACAAAACGGAATTGGAGGCCTGGTGCAGTGGCTCACACCTGTAATCCCAGCACTTTGGGAGGCTAAGGTGGGTGGATCACCTGAGATCAGGAGTTTGAGACCAGCCTAGCCAACATGGAAAAACCCTGTTTCTACTAAAAATACAAAATTTAGCTAGGTGTGGTGGTGCCTGCTTGTAATCCTAGCTCCTCGGGAGCCTGAGACAGGAGCATCACTTGAACCTGGGAGGCAGAGGTTGCAGTGAGCTGAGATCGCGCCACTGTACTCCAGCCTGGGCGACAGAGTGAGACTCCATCAAACAAACAAACAAACAAATAAATAAATAAATGGAATTGGAGCCATTTTGCTTTGTTTCAAGTGAATGGCTGTCCCTTGTCTTATTCAGAATATAAAATTCAGTCTGAATGGTCTTGTACAGATTTTACTTGTTTTTGTGTAAGATATTTTTTATTTGACTGAATCAATATATTGTACAGCCTAAGTTAATAAATGTTATTTGTATATGCATTCAAGTTGTACTTGTCATCAGTTTGGCGGAATCCTTATGCTAAAAGCTATGTCTACTCTAACAGGAAAAAGCCCAGGTTCCTGTCCACTGAGCCACACTGCCCACCAGACGACAAACTCAAATCAGACTTCCTGGGTTTGAATCTCTGCTCAGCCATTTACACCTGTGAAACCTTTAGCACATTAATTAACTTCTTTATGCCCCATCTATAAAGTAGCAGTAGAAATGGTACCACCTCATAGATAATACAGAAGACTATCTGAGCCGATACATGTAAAGCATTTAGCACAGTACCTGCTATGAATAAGTATTTAGAAAATATCAGAATAGAGAAAATCTCACATCTGGAGATCTCTTAATGAATTAAACGTTAGCACCTTTCTATAAAATCAAGATTTAAAAAAAATATCTACATATTGAAAAATGTGACCTTAGTGAATACTGCTTATTTTAAGACTATGGAAAAGGACCTTTTCATGGATGGTAAGAAGTTGCTAAAGGCATCATGCCAGACATGATTTTAATTAAAATTAAGAATATATGATAAAATTAAATATTTCCATGGTAAAGCGATTGCATCCAAATGTTTAAAAATCTACTTAGAATTGCATCAGTAGTAATAGTGGTTTCCTTTTTTCTGCTACAGGTAATGAGTAATACCTGCTACATAGACCTAGAATGATTAAAGGTGATGTCTCTTTTTTTCCCTGTACCCTTTTTGGTTTTAGAACTTTAGCAGACTAAGGCTAAAGAAATACCACAATGAGGCCAGGCACAGTGGCTCACGCCTATAATCCCAGCACTTTGGGATGCCTAGGCGGGTGGATCACAAGGTCGAGATCGAGACCATCCTGGTCAACATGGTGAAACCCCGTCTCTACTAAAAATACAAAAAATTAGCTGAGCACAGTGGCGTGTGCCTGTAATCCCAGGTACTCAGGAGGCTGAGGCAGGAGAATTGCCTGAACCCAGGAGGCGGAGGTTGCGGTGAGCTGAGATCGCACCATTGCACTCCAGCCTGGGTAACAAGAGCGAAACTCCGTCTCAAAAAAAAAAAAGAAATACCACAATGAAATGATCCAACATAAGCATTTCTGGCAAGGCCTGTGGTATTGGGGAATGAACAGGAGGAGCTTTGGAACCACACAATCCGGTTTAAATTCTGGCTCTGCCACTTGTCCCCTATAAAAAGCCCAAAACCTTACAGACCCTAAGATTTCCTATTTGTAAAATAGAAAAGCTGGGCACCGTGGCCTACACCTACAGTCACAGCTACTCAGGGGCCAAGGCAGGAAGATCACTTGAGCCAGAGTTTAAGTCTGTAGCGTGCTGTGATCACACCTGTGAATAGCCACTGCACTCCAGCCAGGGCAACGTAGGGAGACCCCATCTCTTAAAAAAAAAAAAAAAATAGCTAAAATAGAAGTACCTGCCTTGTGAGGATTAAAGGTACTACCATATTTGTGAAGTATGTGGCATTTAAAAGGCATCCACTGAATAGCTTTTGTTATGGCTTTGAGCCAAAATAAATCTTCCTCATTTATTAAGAAGGTATGTAATAAGAGACCCACCACAGTGGCTCACCCCTGTAATTCTAGCACTTTGGGGGACTGAGGCTGGCAGATTGCCTGAGCTCAGGAGTTCAAGACCAGCCTGGGCAACATGGCGAAACCCCATCTCTAGTAAAGACAAAAAAAAATTAGCTGGGCATGGTGGCAAGTTACTGTAGTCTTAGCTACTTGGGAGGCTGAGGCACAAGAATTGGTTGCACCCAGGAGGTGGAGGTTGCAGTGAGCTGAGATTGTGCTGCAGCACTCCAGCTTGGGTGACAAAATGAGACTGTCTCAAAAGCAAAAACCAAAAAAAGGTATGTAATTTACTATTTGGTGCTAAGACTTAAATTTCTAGCTTTGAGTCAAAAGCAATGTACTTATCACCCTGTAAAATTAAGCACATTCACTTTCTTTAAAATTGTAGTAAAATGTATGTAACAAAATATACTATCTTAATCTTTTTTTTTTTTTTTAAAGATGGGTTTTCACCATATTGGTCAGGCTGGTCTCGAACTCCTAACCTCAGGTGATCTGCTCACCTCAGCCTCCCAAAGTGCTGGGATTACAGGTGTGAGCCACCGCGCCTGGCTTCTCTTAATCTTTTTAAAGTGTATATGGTTAACTATTATATAGTCACTTTGTTTTGCAAGCAATCTCCAGAATTTTTTCATCTTGCAAAACTGACATGATTAAACAACTCCCCATTCCTCCCCGTGTCACCTGACAACCACCACTGTACTTTCTCTGAATTGCCTAAGGATTCATATTAGTGGAATCACAGTCTTTGTCTTTGTGACTGGCTTTTTTTTACTTAATATAATGTCCTTGAGATTCATCCATGTTATAACATGTCAGCATTTCCTTCCTGTTTAAAGCTGTATAAACCACATTTTGTTTATCCATCCATCAGTGGGACACTTGGGCTGCTTCCTCTTGGCTGTTTTGAATAATGCTGCTATGAACATGGGTGTACAAATACTTCTTGGGGACCCTGCTTCCAGTTCTTTTGGGTATACACCAGAAATTGGATTGCTAGATCATATAGTAATTCTATTTTTATTTTTATTGATTGATTGATTGATTGATTTTTTGAGACGGGAGTCTCACTCTGTCACCCAGGCTGGAGTGTAGTGGCACGATCTCAGTTCACTGTAATCTCTGCCTCCTGAATTCAAGCAATTCTGCCTCAGCCTCCTGAGTAGCTGGGATTACAGATACCCACCACCACGCCTGGCTAATTTTTGTAGTTTTAGTAGAGACAGGGTTTTGTCATGTTGGCTGGGCTGGTCTTGAACTCCTGACCTCAAGTGATCCACAGGCCTTGGCCTCCCAAAGTGTTGGAATTACAAGCATGAGTCACTGCGCTCGGCCTCTATTTTTAAATTTTTGGGGAACTCCCATAGTGTCTGTAACTGTACCATATTACATTCCCACCCACAGTTCATAAGGATTCCAATTTTCTCTACATCCTTGCCAACACTTGTTATTTTCTAGTTTTTATTTATTTATTATTATTATTTTTTAATAGTTGCCATCCTAATGAGTGTAAGGTGTTATTGTGGTTTTGATTTACTTTTCCCTAATGATTAAGGAAAAGATGTTGGGCATCTCTTCACGGACTTGAAAAGACATTTTTAAAGAAAACATACAAACAGCTAATATTTTGGCCCTTTTTGAATCAGGTTTGGTTTTTGTTAGATATTAACCCTTATCAGATATGATTGGCAAATATTTTCTGCCATTCCTTAGATTTCCTTTTCACTCTGTTTATTGTGGCCTTTGATGCACAGAAGCTTTTAATTTTGATGTAATCCAATTTATTTTTATTTCTGTGGCCCGTACTCTTGCTGTTATATCCAAGAAATCATTGCCAAATCCAATGTCATGAAGCTTTTTCCCTATGTTTTCTTCTAAGAGCTAAATGGTTTTAGCTCTTACATTTAGTTATTTAATCCATTTTGAGTTAATTAGCACATTTACTATTAAATTACCCTATTAAAATGTGATTCTGATAAATCTAAAATTTCTGAGCCTTGTTTAAATACCACATGAGAATAAATGTAAGTAGTATTGCCTGTTAGTTTTTTTCTTTATGTCATGAAAGCAAGTAATGGTAATTATTTTTATTCTTTGGAATATAATATATACTTAGTTATTTTTTAAATTAGCTGGGGAGTGAAGGAATTAAAGCAGTCTTGCCCAAATGCCCTCCTAGGAAGCCTTTCTACAGTTTTCCAATACAATTACAACCCCAGTGATGGATGTTCTGATGGTTAATACTGTCAACTTGATTGGATTGAAGGATACAAAGTATTGATCCTGGGTGTGTCTGTGAGGGTGTTGTCAAAAGAGATTAACATTTGAGTCTGGACTGAGAAAGGTAGATCTACCTTTAGTCTGGTGGACACCATCTAATCAGCTGCCAGTAAATACAAAGCAGGCAGAAAAACATGAAAAGGAGAGACTGGCCTAGCATCCCAGCCTAAATCTTTGTCCCGTGCTGGATGCTTCCTGCCCTCGAATGTCAGACTTCAAGTTCTTCCATTTTGGGGCTTGGAATCCCAG